TTTCCCCACCAGGGCCTTGAACATGCTAGGTATACATATAAAAATATCTACCACTAAACTATATCCCTAACCTGTTGACTTATTTTTGGTACTGGGAATTAAACTCGGGGGCACTCAACCACTAAGCCACATCCCCAGCCCTATTTTGTATTTTATTTAGARTCAGGGTCTCACTGAGTTGCTTAGTGCCTCTCTTTTGCTGAGGCTGGCTTTGAACTCGTGATCCTCTTGCTTCAGCCTCCCAAGATGCTGGGATTACAGGTTTGTGCCACTGTGCCCAGCTGGCTTTTTTTTTTTTTAATATTTTTTCTTTAGTTGTAGATGGACACAATACCTTTGTTTTCATTTATTTATTTTTAATGTGGTGCTAAGGATCAAACACAGTGCCTTATGCGTGCTACGCAACTTTATCCGTGCTAGGCTCTACCATTGAGCTACATCCCCAGCTTCACTGATGCCTCTTGATTAGAAGATTATAACATACCAGGCACCATGGCACATGCCTGTAATCCCAGCAACTCAGGAGCCTGAGGCAGGAAATCTGCAAGTTGCCTGGGCAACTTAGTGGACACTGCTTCAAAATAAAAAAGGACAGGGGATGGGGATGTAGCTCAGTGGTAAAGCACCCCTAGGTTCAGTCTCTAGTAGTGAAATAAATAAATGAATAAATAAATTAATAGGCTATGGATATAATTCAGTGGTACTGAAAAAAAAACTATAACATTATTTTCTGATAAGGATCAGCCTGAAGCAAGTTTGCAAAATTATCATTTTTTTCCTCAGCATCAGATTAGCTCTTGGTGCTCCTCATATCTCCTATCATGTCCTTCTCATGGTCCAACATGGCTATAAATTAAACAAAATGTAATTAAGATTGACAAAAATTTAATTGTTGAATGATTAAAAAAAAAATTCATGGAAGTCCTAATAGTGTTCATCTGGATATGTTCTGCAATCCTTCCATGATCGCTACCCAGATACACGCCACACTCACTTGGAAGCTTTCCATGGTACCATTTGAAAAGAGAAAACAGTAGAATATTTGAACGATTGATTGATTGATTGATTGATTAAAGAAATAAATCAGGTGCCATATCCACTTTTAATGATGTGAACTTTTTGGAACCTCTGGTTAGAAATGTACCGCATATCTAGCCCTTTTAATTTTCTCAGAGACAAAGCCCAGTGAGAGAATGGAAGTTCCCCAAGGTCACACAGTAAGTCTGTAATAGACACAGGTCAAGAACCATGGCTTTTATTCTTTATACTGAGTTTGCTTGGCCTGAGCCTGTCACTCTCTCCCCTCATCTCACACTCACATAGTCTTCCCCCAAGAGCCTGTTGCTGAGGGGAAAGAAAAAWTTTTTTTCTTAGTGCTGAAGATTGAACCTAGGCCCTTGCACATGCTAAGCACACACTATACCACTGAGCTACACCCCCAACCAAATGCTGATATATGAAATTAATTTTTTTTGGTGGGGGGGATACCTAAGATTAAACTCAGGGGCACTCGACCACTGAGCCACATCCCCAGTCCTATTTTGTATTTTATTTAGAGACAGGGTCTCACTGAGTTCCTTAGTGCCTTGCTTTTGCTGAGGCTGGCTTTGAACTCTGGATCCTCCTGCCTCAGTCTCCCATGCCACCGCATCTGTCTTTAATTTGATTTTTGTATGGCTTGTGGAATTCTTTCTGTGGTGACAGTTAAATCATCAGCTGCTTTCTGGAGGACATATAAGACCTGCCCATCTGGCCCCACCTCCCTGACTTCATCTCCTGCCCCTGCTTTCCTGCCCAGTGCACATCTCCTATATTCTGCTTAGAATTTCCTTGGAAACCCTTCCCTGCCCCTCCCCAAGTCTGGCCTGAGTGCCCTGCCTCCCTGTCCCCATCATGGCCTACCTCACATGGTATTATAATTGCCTACTTGCCTGTCTCCCTTGCTAGCCTAAGTGCCATGCTGGCATGAGCCCTCTTACTTATCACTATGTTCCCAGAGCCCAGAGCAGGGCCTGACCCATGATAGCTCTTTGAGTCTCTGTGGAGTCAATAACTGGATCTGCCACTTCTAGAACACTCCTCTTCTCTCACAGAACAGAGCCTCTGCAGAGGGTGCTTCTGCTGCCATACCCGTCAGTTCTATCTCCTTAACTTSTCAAAACCCAGTTCAAAAATCCACAACAATCAACAGTTCTGTGAAGCCTTCTTCCTCAGACTTAATGTTGCCAGGCCCCACACACATTTACTCTCCCTTCTTGCTTCCATCCTCCTTGCCACCCCATATCACTTAGGACCCTATTGATCCTGTAGAAAGTAACTTTTTACCCTGGCCCCTACACAGTGCTGACTATTGTGCTAGATCCTTAGATTTTAGCAGTGAACCTAGCTAGTAAAAACCCCTGTCCTTGCTGGGTATGTAGAGTACCCCTGTATCCCAGTCACTTCAGAGGTGAAAACAGGAGGATCACAAGCGCAAGGCYATCCTGAACAACCTAGTGAGAACTTTTATMTAAAATATAAAAAGGGCTGTGGATGTACCTCGGTAGTAGAGTACCATAGCACCCCCAGATTCAATTCTCAGGATTTGGGGGAAAAAAATCTTGTCCTCATGAAGCTCACATTGGAGGTGGGACAGGCTATAAATAAGTAGGGCTGGGGGTGGCTGGGGGTGTACCTCAACCTTAAAGTGCTTGCCTAGCATTCATGAAGCCCTGGGCTCAATCCCCAGAGCTGCAAAACAAACAAACAAAAACAGAAGAAAAGAAATAGAATGAGAATCTCTTAGAAAGTAATGAGTGTTGCAGACAAGAATAGAGCAGGAAAGAGGGACAGGGATAGATAGCAGGGGAGGTTGGAGGAAGCCTGGAAATCTTAGGACGAGGCACAGACCTCCAGATTTGCACTGGCTGGGCAAAGGTCTGGAGAGGGGCGCCACATATGATCCAATTCCACACAGGGGTTATTATGACCAGAGAGGTGGTGAGCAAAGGGGACAGTATAGAAAAGGAGGATAGAGAGGAAAAACAAGTCTCCAGATCAGACAGGCCTGTGGGTCGTAAGAAGGACTCTGGCTTTTGCTCTGAGATAGGAACCACCGGTAAGTTATGAGCAAAGATATATCCTGATCTCATCTTAACAGAGCCACCCTGGCTGCTTTATTGACTAAAGGGGGGCAAAGGCAGAAATGAGGCCATGAGGAGGCTACTGTAATAACGTGATAGGGGAGGGTGCTTGGAGCAAAGTGGTAGAATCAGAGAGTAGTGGGAAATCAAAGGTTCTACATTTTTTACCTGAGTAATAAGAAGTATGGAGCTGCTAGAAGTTGAAATGAAGACTATGGGAGGAGTAGGATTGATGGGAAGATCAGGATGTAACCAGAGGACAAATGGAACTTTGAGCAAGTACCTGAGTACCCAAATCTGGGCTTCAGAGGAGATGGTCCAGGCTGGAGGTATACATTTGAGCATCACCAGCATAAAGATGCTCTTCAAAGCCTTGAAGACCAGATGAGATCTCTAAGGAAGCAAGTGTTCCAAGGATCGGTGAGTGATCCACCAAATCAAATGCTGCTGAGGAGTCCAGAAAAAATGAGGCCTGTCAGTGAATGAATAAATATCAGATTCCTTTAGATTTGCAAAGTACAGGCATGATAATGGTTAACTGACAATAAATGGGTACAGAGACAAGATGGATGTAACTCACAGAACACCGGGAGACACAGGGAATGGAAGAACTATGGCATCTTTGAGTTGAGAGGGACCTTAAAGAGATCTTTTAATCTGTACGCCTCTCTCTGACTGAATCCCTAGTTCTAGAATAAAAAATATCTGTGGGATACTGGGGCAACTAATCTGGGTATGCCATTTAGACAGAGCACAGGTGAAGAATGGGAGAAAGGGTAGCTCAATAAATGCTGGACAGCAGATACAGAGAAAGGAATTGGAGATGATGATCTCCTGGACTCAGGTCTTGCATCTGCTGTTTCCTGATCTCCTGTTCTTCAGAAACTCACTTCACATGCCCAAACCTCAGTTCCACGGTATGTAAAATGGGAGCAAGCAAAATTCCTCGTTCCTCCCACAGTTGAAGTGAAGCCTGAATATAGTACTGTCTGTCCTCAGTGGGTCTGTTGATGCGGCATGTGAAGAAGTGAAACAGGATTCAGGCCAGGACCTAAGCTGGAATGGAATGGACAGAGTGGCAAAAGAGGGCCATCTAAACTGAGACCAAGGTCTTGCATCCGCCTCCATTGAGCCTGGAACAGAGATGAAGGAGACCCTGAGGCAGTGATAGGGAAAAGAAATGGAGACACCGAGGCAGAGACCCGGAGACCCAGAGGCAGGGAGACTAAGAGATAAACAGACCCCAAAACAAGCGGCCTCAGAGGGGCCCGAGGAGACCAGRAGAAGGCGAGGCACTGGAGCCCAGACCCTGCCAGAGCAGCGATCCCGCGCAGCGCAGGGTCCCAGTGGGGCTCCGGCGGCCGCACTCACTGGGCGCCCCCGCCCGGGCAGCTCGCCCAAGATGGCGATGGAGGGGCKGGCGAGGCGGCAGCGGCCCCGGCCCCCGCTCGGGCCCGGGCCCCCGAGGCCGCGCCCCCGCCCGCGGCGCCGCGCCTCCCCGGGCCACTGACGCCCGGCGCGCCCTCCCCCCGCGGCGGCGGTCGAGGCGCCGGGAGGCGGCGGCGGCGGCAGCCCGACCCGGCCCCATGGCGCGGGGGGACGCTGGCCGCGGCCGCGGGCTCATCGCGCTGACCTTCTGCCTGCTGGCCGCGCGCGGTAAGGGCGGGCGCCGCGGCAGTGGCGGGAGTGGCTGCGGTGGGTYGGTGCGCCCGCGCCCAGGGCTGCGCTGGGCTGTGGGGCTGGCGTGCGTCCCCGGTCCGAGTGAGTGCTGGGGCCGTGGTCGCGAGTCCTTGTGCCTGTTATGCCTGCGCGTGGGGACTGCGGGACGCGGCCGGGGGTCGTTTGCGGAGCGTTCTTGTCCGCAGGGGGTGTGTGTCCTTGGTTCGCAGAGTCTGGAGTTGTGTGTGTGTGTGTGTGTGTGTGTGTGTGTGTCTGTGTGTGTGACTGAGGGGTGTCCTACGGGCGTACGTGTCCGCAGTGCGTGCCATGGTCGCAGCGCGGCATCCGTGGCGCGAGCGGCTGTGGTGTTGGTGGCTCGCTCAGGGCATGCTCTGCTGTGCCCGCATGTGTCTCCGGGCTGAAGGTGTGTGAGAAAGAGGAGGGGAGTGGGAGTGTGTGCGTGCACCTCCATTTGTGTCGAGTGCGTGTGTAACTGTGTTTATGGGGCTGAGCTAATATTTTGGCCTTGGCTTTTGGGGAGTGTCCTTGTCCGTGTTTGGGGGGACAGCAGTAGATTCCAGATTGACTGAGGAAGACGGTGACAAAACACTCAACTTTGCCCAGTGGGTGTGGTCCCTAGGGCCAGTTGGGGGTGGGGGTGGAGGTCTTGCTCCCCCTAACCTGTGACCTGGAGTGGATTGGGGGATGGGGCAGGAAACCAGTTGCTTTCACGGACGTTTCCAACACTCTCAGGATGGGACGCGTGTCATGCCTGCCCCACCCCCAAAGGGCCGACCAGGAAAGCGTGGAGGAGGTCAGCAAGGCCTCCTCCAGTTCCCCACCCAGGGCGAGGTAGGGGTAGGGCCAGAAGCCACAGTTGCCTAAGCTGGAGAGAGGGCTGGGGAGGGGGTGACGGAACCGCCAAGTGTGTGTGGCCAGGGCTCCTTCTACCCACAGCCTCTAGCTTTCGGTGGGTTGTGCGTCTGTTGGGCGGCCCACGGGACGGTAGGTGGTAGGGCTGGGAGGGGGATGGGCTGCCCGCTTTGTTCGCCTAGTTCTTGCCTTCCCTGTGGAGGGGGGAGCTGAGGATGTGTCCGGGGAGAGTCGGGGAGGGACTTGTCGGTGGGGGTGGGGAGGGGGATTTCTCTCCAGCTGCTGCGGCTTTCCAGAGAGACTCAGCCAGGCCACGTGGGAGAGAGGCAGGGAGGGCGATGTCGCGGGGGAAGGAGCCTCAGCCTGGCCAACCCTAAGCCCATCTCCAGGAAAACCGCGGGTGGGAAAGTGCAAGGAACTATTGGGACCCCTTCTCTCCGTACAAAGACACGCCCCTTTCCAGCCTGGACTGTGGACTGGGCTGGACGCCTTGGCTCGGGCAGCGGAAGCTGGGGGCCCTCGGAGTTCTGTCAGGTGAAAGCGGCCAGGAAGTGTCAGAGAGGCTTCTGTCCTCCCGGAGCCCAGAGGATTAAAAAACAGTTTTGCCCCTTCTCCCGCCCTTCCTTTCCAAGAGCTCCTGGAACGAAYTTAGTGTTACCCAGCAAAGAGGGATCAGGGTTAGGAATTGCACCCACGCTTTATGGAATACCGTTGGGGCCTCTGGCAAGGGGCTTAGCTTCCCTTTGGAGACCTGGCCTCTCCAGGCTCCTGAGTGCACAAGGCGGGGGAGGGCCCAAGCTGCCTGCGCTCTGACCTGGTACAACATCTACTCTGCTTGCCCTGACCCCCCTCCTTTGAGTGTGCAAAGCCCAACAGGCCTGGGGACACGTCTATAGAGTTCTGATTAACCACCCTAATCTGGACCAAAGTCATTCATTCGTTCCACAGTATTTACTGAACAATTTTTATAGGCTAGCATGTGCTTAGAATATAGTAAATAAAAAGTCAGACCAAGTCCCTAGTGGAGAGTTTTCAGTTGTGGGGTGGAGGGAGACAACTGACAAATACCTTGCAGAAAAGAGGCTCCTAAGCCAGTCTGGGAAAGTCAGGAAAGGCTTCCTGGAGAAAGTGGTGAATAATAAGACTGAACAGAGGGGGAGCCAGTCCTGTGCAAGGATAATGATGACAAGAAAGTTTTCCATAGAACAGCATGTGCAAATACTCAGAGGTGATTGAGTTTATATCATTGAATGAAGCTAAATCCCGCTGAAGTTGAGAATGCAAGTTGTGGGAGTTAGGCAGGTAGGAGTGGGACGGGCCAGGGATCAGGAGTATCTGGAGAGGAGGCTGAAGAGGGCAGCCAGACTCAGCTCACAAAGGGCAGTGTCAGCTCTGCCACAGTTTCTGGCCTGAAAGCCCCTGTGAATCCTGGGCTCAGCTTTGCATCAGCTCACTCCAGCCAGTGTGGAGAATTGATTGGACAGGCCTGGAGGCAGGAAGCTCCAGCTTCTTGGGAGGCTGTAGTAGTAATCCAAAAGAAAGGATGGTGGCAACTTGCAAAGTAGCAGTTGGGGTGGCCAGAGTGACTGGATCCTAGAGATATTAAGGAAATGGAATTAGGAGGACCTGAAGATAGATTAAGTTTGTAGGGGGCTGGGGATGTGGCTCAAGCGGTAGAGCGCTCGCCTGGCATGCGTGCGGCCCAGGTTCGATCCTCAGCACCACATACAAAGATGTTGTATCCGCCGAAAACTAAAAATAAATAAATATTAAAATTCTCTCTCTCTCTCTCTCTCTCTCTCCCTCTCTCTTAAAAAAAAAGTTTGTAGGGAGTAAGGAAGAGGAAAATAAAAAATAATAGACTGATCAGCCACCCCACCATGGGACAGGATTATGACAGTGACTGCCCCTCTCTTTGTCAGCATTGTCCTTGAGTCAGGGATTGGAGACCATAGAAACATTTTTTAGGAAAGGAACTCTTGCTTGGGGACAGTGATGGAAAGCTGGGCTTTTTCACCACATGAAAGAAGTGGGACTCCCCTTTCCACCCAAGTTAGACTTTGGGGTGTGAATAACAACAGGAGGACCCCAAGGACATGGGAGCATTCTCTTCACCTGGGAATACCTCCTTCCCTCCCATCCATTTCTAGGCTCAGAGGCCAGTCTCAGTCAGTTGGGGTGGCCCTCTCTAAACACCATCTTTGAGGTTAGGAGTCAGGTCAAACATTGGGAACTTCTCTTAATAGTGAATCTTATCCAAAAGTTATCGAAACCTTCATTGATCCTATAAGCGCTTTCATCGCCTAGTTAATAGCACATTTATGTGAAAATTAACATTTCCTGTCTTTTCTCTGAAAGTTAAGGGGTCTCACAATTAGAGCATACAGAATATCAGCACTGAAAGAGACCTAGGAATAATTTTTAGCATAAACCCATTTTACAGATGAGAATGGAATGATTCCCAAAGTTACATAATTAGAGACTGAACTGGGGCTAGAACCAGTCTCCTGGCTCTTGGACATTATACTATAAGGCCAGAGCAGCCACCCTTTCCAGGGATTTGGAACATACCCAAGTCCACCCTTTTTGCACTTCTCTCTTCTCTCCACCAAATGAGAAGTTATCAGCTTCAGGCTTGCCCTGTCCCCATATTCAGTCAATCTGGGATCCACCCTTTTCCTTGTCTCACCCCTCAAACTCTTTCGGTTCCCTCCAGTGTCTCTGAGGTAGAGCAACCAGTCTTGACATRGAATTCCAGATGCAAAACAGATGTCATTGCTAGACAGGCCTGGGGGCTCCCGGTTTCCAGGAGAACAGGRGGAGTAAGAGTGGCCCTGAGAGATAGGACCCTACCCTGGTCAGAGGTGGGTGACCRAAGCTAGAAGTTGGGGAAGAAGGACCCACATGCTGTCTTCTGAGCCAGCAGAGCTGCCAGGTTCTTCAATGCTGGGGCTCAGACATCCTTTGGATTTGGAGGATGGTGGAATCCTTGGAGTCAGGGAAGCGGAAGATCAATAATCTCTCTCTCAGGTGCAGACCCAAGACTCCTGGATGATTTGATAAGGGGCTCATTATCTTGTCACATAGTTTGGAGGACAGAGTTCTGATGAGTGAGCAGAGAGCATACTGGGAGACACAGGTGGGTGGAGGAGAAAGATATTTTTAACCATTGAGCCATATAACAGGAGAACAGGGAAGCTAATGAACTCCTGGCCCTGGTAAGGTTTAGGTAGAGTTTCTTTCAGTGTGCATTTGCTGTTCTGTGTGCTTTTGAAGCATTTTGTTAGGTGTCTAGTAGGTGTTGTGTGGTATGCTYAGGAGTTTCTAGAAGTATTATTTGCATCACCCCCAACCCTAAGGGAGTTGCTATTATTTTTACAGATAAGAAGACTGAGGCTTGGAAAAGCATGAGGGGCTTTTTGTCTCATCTTTTCGAGTGACTCTTCATGCCCACCCATCCATTCAAGTTATGTGTATTGAGCACCTTCTATGTGCCAGGCTCTGTTGTAGACACTAAAGAGGAACACAGCTGGCTAGAAAGCAATCATGAGTCTGTTGCCTAACTGGAGAAAAAGACAAGTCAAAAATCTAGACCCAGGGGCTGGGGATGTAGCTCAGTTGGTAGAGTGCTTGTCTCGCATGCACAAGGCCCTAGGTTCAATCCCCAGCACCACAAAAAAAAAAAAAAAAAATCCTAGAGCAATGACTACCGTGATGCAGATGCCCAGAATTCTGTGGGGCGGAGGAAGAAGAGGTATCAAAATCAGACAGAGTGTCACACCAGGTTCCAGGAAAAGGAAACAGCGCCTGTGGCACATGGAACTGAAAGTGGTTTGCTATGTATGGCCGGGGACTGGTGGGAGTCTCWGGGGAGCAGGAGGTAGGCAGGCCAAACCCGGTGTAGTTTGCTGCTGACAGTGAGCCTCCCCACTCCCRGAGGGAGGGTCAAGGCCTTCCTTGTGTCCCAGGCAACGCCCCAACTCTTCTTCCAGCTGTTGGTGGGCGGGGCTTAGTGCGGGGAGGAGAGGGGGGGGGGCGCGGGAGAGGCCCAGGCTCTGGAAGAAACTGACATGTGTCCCCTGGGAGGAGAGAGCAGTGGTGGTGTCCTGGAGAACTGCCCCGAGGAAAACAAGCTGCAAATTTGTTGGGTCCTGAAACGTAGAAGTGACAAGGAACTGATGTTTGTGGCAATTTCTTGGCCTAATGGAGAGAGGGACTTGGCTTTGTTCCCCTCTCCCACTCCCTTCCCCTGGAGGCTGGAACTCACCCTGGGCTCCCTTCGGCCCACCAAAGGGCACCGAGATGACCCTGGGAATGGCAGCGAATCTCCTTTCTGTCTGARTTCTAATTGGCTTCATAAAATCAGTGTAAGTGGGTAAAATAATGTGTCAGAAAAAAAGAGACCGAGAAATGGCTCTGGGGTTCCCAAATGCAGAGACTCTGGGTCTCACCAGGTGTCACAGAAAAGATTAGGGAGAAGGGATTGTGGCGGAGGGAGGCCCCTTGCAGGCAGAGAACTGGCCCCAGCAAATGTCCACTGGTAGGCACGGTGTGTCAGACCCAGGCCTGGGAGGGACGGCTCAAAATCCTGTGGGAGGGGCTTTAGGGGTCTGCCCTGCAGTGCAATGGTGGTGGTGGTGGCAGGAAAGGGGTAGCTAGACAAACAAGGTCTGCTCCAAAGAGCATCACTTTTATGAAAAGATTGTATGCAGTATTATATATAACTATGATGTACCAATACAAAATTAAAAAAATAAATTACARTGTGGTTAGCCTTAAAACAAAGATTTGATGGTGAAGGAACCACATTTATATTAACATTGCAGCTGGGCGTGATGGCACACACCTGTAATCCCAGCAGCTCGTGAACCTTTGAGGCAGGAGGATCTCTAGTTCAAAGCCAGCCTCATCAATTATCAAGGTCCTAAGCAACTCAGTGAGACCCTGTCTCTAAATAAAATACAAAAAGAAGGCTGGGGTTGTAGCTCAGTGGTACCGCGCTTGCCTAGCATGGGTGAGGCACCAGGTTTGATTCTCAGCAACACATAAAAATAAATAAAATAAAATAAAATAAAGGTATTGTGTCCATCTTCAACTAAAATAAATAAATAAAAAAGAGCTGGGGATGTGGCCCAGTGGTTGAATGCCCTGAGTTCAATCCCTAGTACTGAAAAAACCAAAACAAAACAAAACATTGCTGCTTTGTAGAAAAGAATGGACAGTGTACTAGAAGTTTAAAAATAAAAACATTTCAGGCAAACAGGACACCTCATATGTACCTTCTCTGCTGTAAGGAGAATTTGATGAAAATGTTTGAGAAATTTGGAGACTCCCCATTTTAAGTTGGGGAAACTGAAGCTGAATAGAGGAATGAAACTGACCAAAGATCATGCAACCAATGACTGGACCTAGAGCCAGACTCTAACTCCAAAGTCAAAGTTTGTCCCATCACATCCCATGTTTGTTTAGGCAAGAGGAAAAATAGGCAGGGGACCTTCAAGTGGCCTTTGATGTGAGACTCAAGAAAAACTGCAATTGGGGAAAGCAGGCACAGCCTCATAGAGGGGCTGGCAGTGTGGGTGGAGTCCCCAAAGTACCAGTTCTAGGCACAGAAGTCAGGTGGGGCACTGAGGCAGAGAAAAACCTCTTACTCAGGAGCAAGTGTCGGTGCAATGCTGGGTTCATCTCCAGAAAGTCAAAGAAAGGCTGGGCACAGTGGCACACGCCTGTAATCCCAGCCCCTCAGCTCGGGAGGCTGAGGCAGGAGGATGGAGAGTTCACAACTAGCCTAAGCAAGGGCAGGCGCTAAGCAACTCAGTGAGACCCTATCTCTAAATAAATGGGGGATGTGTGGCTCATTGGTTGAATGTTCCTGAGCTCAATATATGGTGTCCAAAAAAAAAAAAAAAAAAGTCAGAGGAAGTTCACCCAGACTCTTGCCTCCCAGAGACACCATCCTCACACACCTCTGGACCTCAAGTTCCCYACTTGTTGAATGAGGATCCTCAGATTTCACAGGCATTTCCACTAAAATGGGTCATCTTGGGATCCTGGCACAGCACTGCTGCTCTCTGAGGGGGACCCCCTGTTCTCTGCATCTCCATCTCTGCTGGTTTCCCTGTTTTGCCTTGCTGGGCTTCCTCWGAGGCGGGGAAGCCAGACATCTGCCGATCCATGAATATTCAGGAAGGGAATCGGAGCCTCCTCTGGGCTCCCCAGCCAGCCGCCAGCCCCTCTGGCCGCCGTCCTGCCCGCCAGAGCCCAGGCTGCTGACATACCCAGCAGCTGCTCAGGGCCCCAACTGTTCACATTGTTTGTTCAGCACGGCAGGGGATTTTCCAAGCCCTGGACGMACTTTAGGGGGCGGGGAGGCTGCCCGAGGGCCCAGGGATTCATGTCATGTGGGGCTTTTTTCTCCCCTGAAACCCAAACCAACTGCTCAGCGGCTGGAACAGGGCATTTTGAAGCCACTGGGCTGAGAGCCCGGGCTTGCCTTCCTCCAACCCCGTGTTTGAGTCAGGAAATTCAGGGTCTTAGAGATAGAAAGATCGGAGTGTTGAGTACAGCAGTCAGCATTCCTGCAACCTTTACAGCGGAGAAAGTGCACTTAAAGAATGCACTCCTGTTCCTGGAGTGATGGCCGTTGGCTCTGGCCGGAGCCCTGACATATATCATCTCGTTTAATTCTCACAGGCTCTCAGTGTCATCTCYATTTTACACACGTGGAGACAGTCCCGGAGAGGTTAAGTGGCTTGTCACACAGCTGATAGGTAGTGCAGCAAGACTGTAATCTTTATCTTCTGCCCCAAGTCAGTGGTCTTGCCACCACCATCACGTGTCTGCTCTGAATGCCTGTTTGCTTTCTTCAATTAGAATGGAAACTCCGCAAGGGAAGGTGCTGCCTTCTCCCTCCTTGCACCCACCAGTCCTGAGGCCAGCTGTGCAGCTGAACATGTCCAGCAGAACCTCTCTGATGGATTAAGAGAGGTAGTCGTTTGCACAGGACCTTCTTGACCTTCAGTCCCTCACACTGGATTCTGCCCTAGTTCCCTTATCTCAGGCAGTCGGGACTCCTCTTCTCCCCTTGGCCTTGATCCTCTTTGGAGGTTGTGGAAAGGGAGGCTGGAAACATACTATAAGGATCTAAGTGTTGAAAGACAGACCAAATGTGCATGTGTTTAGGCCACACAGTAGACTGTGAGAGACCTGGGTCTAGAACTAAGGGTCTTCTGATTCTGTGGCCATCATGCTTTGTCCCCCATGTGACACTGTCAGTCCCAATCTGCCTTATAATGAGTATGGGCGATGATCCTCACCTGTGCCTCCGGTTTACTCTCAGACGTACATTCTGTCCTGAAATGAAAAGTCAGGCCAGAGGATAAGAAGGGATCTTGAATTCTTATGGGACAGGAAGACGGCGAGTCAACCTTCTGGAAGGTACCAACCATTTCTCTATGAATAATGGTGACAGGGCCTTGCTGAAATGTTGGTTGAGTTGCCTTTTGTGGTTTTTGCCTTGACCCTGGGGTGGCACTTTCTTCCTGCTATATTCCCTCCCTCTTCCATTTGGCAAGGACAATGTTGGGGTCTGCAGGCTTTTCTGGGGCCTGAGTCAGGAGACCCAGGTCTTGACTCTAGCCTCCTGTGTGTCCTTGCAGACATTAGTCGCAAGAAGAAGCCTCCAGAGCTGAAGAGGCCTGGAAGGAGCTGCGGGAGCCTCCTGTGGGCTTGCTTGGAGTCTAGCTAGAGCCTCGCCCTACCTGGATGGACAGGGAGCACTTAGCTTTCCCAGCAGGGCTGCTCACCTGTCTGTTGTAGGGAWGAAGGGGATTCTGGCTTTCTTTCATCCAGAAGGCTCCACAAACCAACTGGGACTTATTTTTACGTTGTTTATTCTATATATATATGGATTCACATGCATGTTCTCACTCACTTACTTAAGTACTCTGAATACAGTTTAAACATTTCCTGGCTACAATAATTTTCTAGCCCTTGGCATATTTTTGGTGGGGTAGTAGTGGTCAACATGAACTGCTGGGTTCCACTCTGTGCCTGACCGTGCTGCACTCTTCTCACACACCAYCTCATTTAATGCTCGCAGCAGCCCTACGAAGAAGGTTTTGTGTTGTTTTGTTTTAATCAAGGTATAAATCACACACCACAAAATTCACCAAATACAGTGTATAAGTCCATGGTTTTTAGCATATTGACTAGGTCGTACAGAGTTGGCAGCTATCTTGTTCTAGAACATTTTCACTACCCCCAAAAGAAACCTCATGCTCATTAGCAGCCACACCCCATTCTTCTCTGCCTACAGCCCATGGGAACCATTACTTTACTCTCTGTCTTTATGGATTTGCCTATTATGGGCATTTCATGGAAATGAGATCATGCGGCATGTGGCATTTTGTGACTCGCGTCTTTCACGTGGCATGAAGTTTTCAAGGTTCATCCACATCTACACAAGCGTCAGTACCTCCTTCCTTTTCCTGKCTGAGTAATATGTGTACCTGTTCATGGGGCGGGAGCATTTGGCTACGGTGTGTGATGCTGCTGTGAACTGGGCCTTTTGGTGGGTGAAGAAGGTAAATAGTCGGGAAGCTGGGCACAGAGAAGTGCAGCAGTTTCCCAGAATCACAGGGAGCAAGGGAAGAGCCGGGTCCAGGTCCAGGTCTTCCTAGGAGACCTCTTTCTTAGTGGTTGGACCTAACCCCTGGGTGGTGGCTCTGGAGCAGAGACTGGGAGTGGGGAAGAGCCACACTGATAGCCCCTGTGTCTCCTCCTCTGCGCAGGAGAGCTTCTGTTGCCCCAGGAGTCGACTGTAGAGCTGAGCTGTGACGTGGGGCCGCTGCGTGTGATCTTGAGCCCAGAGCAGGCTGTAGTGCTGGACTGCAGTCTGGGGGCTGCTACTGCTGGACCCCCCACCAGGGTGACGTGGAGCAAGGACGGAGAAGCCCTGCCGGAGCTTGATCACCTGCACCTACTACCCAATGGCTCCCTGTGGCTGTCCCAGCCACTAGCACCTGATGACAGTGACGAGGCAGCCTCTGAGGCCTTGGGAGTCATTGAAGGCAGCTATTCCTGCCTGGCCCATGGTCCCCTYGGAGTGGTGGCCAGCCAGGCCGCTGTGGTCAAGCTTGCCAGTAAGTACTTGCATCCGGGGGCTGGAGCTGAGGCCCAGTCAACCTGTAGTGTGGGACGTGGGATCTGAGTTGGTTACTTGCACAAATGCCTATCTCCCCGGCCCACTCCCCTGTCCCCTGCCTCTCTTCCTGCTCAATGTCCCTTCCTGATATTGTCACCCTTCCCTGTTCAGTCTTCCTTCCCTCCTCTTCTCCACTTCTCTGTTCCTCCTTTTCTTGCCCTCTGAGCGTGGAGTTGTGCTGTCGTCCAGAAAGCCTGTCGAGAGGCTTGGGAGAGGTCACAGGCCCAACGGTGCCCCTCTGGGAGTCCCCCACACAGTGGGCAGCRTGTATGGAGCTCTGTTGCCCTCCTACCCTGCTCTTGGGTGCTCAGGAACCACAACTTAGTAGCAAATAATTTGGGGGCCAAAAGAGGAGTGCATCTTACTGTAGTGTGACTATCATGGTGATGCCATGGAGATGCCATTTCAAGGGGACCTTGAAATTCATTCTGCCAGCAGCATCTGACCTATAGTCACCACTTTTTATCCATTGGCTACCTCTGTCCAGCTATCTCCCAGCTATCTCCCCTTGTCTGAATTTGTTGTGCTGTGCGTTTCTGTGACTCTGTGTGTGTTCACTGTGCTCACTGTGGTGTGCCCCCACATGCTCCTATCCTGTGTCTGCCCATGACCTCATCTCTAGTGCTCGAGGACTTCTCTCTGCACCCGGAGCCTCAGATGGTGGAGGAGAATGGGACAGCTCGCTTTGAGTGCCACATTCAAGGGCTGCCAGACCCTGTCATTACTTGGGAGAAGGACCAGGTCACATTGCCTGAGGAGCCTCGGTGAGTGTCCTGTGGGAATGGGTCCCTGTGGGAATGGGTCCCCATGGGCAGGACAGACAGGACTCCAAGATGGGCTCAGAACTGAGATTCTTAGTGCCAATGTGGTCCCAGTTCCCAACTCCTAGCGCTCTGCTGGCCTTTTTTTTTTTAATATATATTTTTAAATTGTTGATGGAGGCGTTGGGGATGTGGCTCAGCGGTAGCGCGCCCGCCTGGCATGCGTGCGGCCCGGGTTCGATCCTCAGCACCATATACCAATAAGGATGTTGTGTCTGCCGAGAACTAAAAAAAGTATAAATATTAAAAAAAAAATTTAAATTGTTGATGGACCTTTATTTTATTTACTTATTTATATGTACGCGGTGCTGAGAATCGAACCCAGTGCCTCACACGTGCTAGGTGAGCKCTCTACTGCTGAGTCACAACCTCAGCCCTCTGCTGGTCTTAAAGAGAAGTTAGACAAGAAGTTTTTGCTCCCTGGGAGGAAAGCTACTCACCAAGCCAACAAGAATCCATCAGAGCATATTAGTTTGACGGTGGCTCTGTTGAGGAGACCGAGGTCCAGAAGAGCTGTGGTCTGTCCAAGGCCACACTGTGAGACGTTGGCAGAATGTTGGTTTTTCACTCACGGCCCTGAGGCTAAATAGAAAAACTCTCCAGTAGTGGTAGAAGGTACAGGAGAGACTCCTGGGTAGAAAAACTACAGGATATTTGTGAGGGCAAAGTTACAGAAGAAGGGTAAGAGGTCAGGCTATAAGAGATTCTTAGGATGGCTTAGAACCCACCACTCCTTAGCCTGTCAAATCTTGCCAGCCTTGTTTTCCCCACCTATGAAACAAATGGGAAAGAAATGGGGGTTCATTTATTTTATTTTTTTAATATTTATTTTTTAGCTTTAGATGGACACAATACCTTTATTTTATCTTTATGTGGTGCTGAGGATCGAACCCAGTGCCTCACGCGTGCTAGGCGAGCGTGCTACTACTTGAGCCATATCCCCAGCCCAAAAGGGGGTTCATTTTAGATCATGGTTTCCCAAAGTGTGTCTTTGTAGAACATCAATTCCAGACRGATGAGCTGGGCAAGCAAGAACCGATTGAGAGCCTACTCCTCACAGCCCCTGAGAGGGTGAGGGCAGCGACACCCCCCATACCATCAGCACAGGCCCCACTTAATGAGAGCTTCCCTTGATCCAGGCACTGTGCTATGTTTTGCATGTTTTCTTATTTTTTTCTTCCCATCATCCTTCAAGGTATTTCTAATTTTTCAGTTTTTCTCTATTTACTTTTAATTTCTATTCTTAGCAGATGCATTTTAAAATTCATAGAACCAAAGAGGTAGAAAAGGCTCAGAAGGCTGAGGCAGGAGGATTGCAAGTTCAAAGTCAGCCTCAGCAATTTATCTAGATTCTAAGCAATTTAGCAAGACCCTTTCTCAAAATAAAAAATAAAACGGGCTGGGGATGTGGCTAAGCAGTTAAATGAATTCAATCTCCGATACAGGGGAAAAAAAAGAAAAAAAAAGTAGAAAAAGTATCCATTATCTTATCATTTGTAGAAAACCATTGTTAGCTGTTAGTTTTCCGTGCTGGGGTGGAACCCAGGGCCTCCCATGGGCTCTCCTGAGCAGCGCCTCCGTCCCCTCATTGATAGTTTTCATGTCTGTCCTTCTGGACTTTTTTCTTATGTGTTTGTAAATATTATTTTTAAAATTTTGAATTATATTGTACATACTGGGTTCTTTGTTCAGTCTCAAAACAAAGTTTTTTCACTTAACATAATGAACATCCTTTAGGATTTGTGGGTATGGATATGGTAGAGAATTCTGTCTAAAATGTTAAAAGGAGAGAACTGAGACAGAAGTCACTTGACCCAAGTCACACAACTAGTCCCCAGAGTGTCAGACTCCTGAGCTCTGGTGTGGATGACACAGACCTCTCCTGGTTGTGATTTGGTGGTAGGGTGGGGAATGCGGGGTCTGAAGAAGTTTGTGCTATGGGTGGGGTGAGAGATCGGTTGTCTCAATGTGGCTCCAAGCAAAGTTTCTCAGCAAATCAGTGGGGTTCCGACCATCCTTCCCAATGTCTAATTCAGACCTAATCCCATGAAGCCACAGACCTCACCCACGAGGCTGGAGCTGCCTCGGTCCTGGACTCGGGGAGTGTTTGCCCCCAGGTCCTCTGAAAAGTGATCCTCATCTATAAATAAGCCAGGCTTACATGTCCCAGCACATTGTGTGGGGGAATAAAGAAATGTCTAAAACAGCAGCTGGATTATGCCCAAGGTATGTATTTTTACACGTGCCCAGATATAGTGCATGTACAAATATGCTATTCAAACACTCAGCCCAGCAGTTTGAAGGAGACCATGTATGTGGAGTGGGGTGTGCACATGTGCAGTTAATAGACATACTCTGTCAGGGTAGGTGTGCATACTTTTGGAAGTGATAGTGAAGACTAGCCCCCAAGGCAATTCCCTGATACTTACACTTGGAAGGCAAACCTGCCATGGGAACCAGTAATCAATGAGAGCAGTGTTCCCCAAACGTCTGGCATTCACAGCCACCTTCGTAATTTTGGCCATCCTTGTGCCACTTCCACAGCCACTTAACACTTTTCTTTACATCATCTCTCTCTCTCTTGTAATTTTAACACATATTAACAGAACATTATCAAACCAGGTGTAGTGGTGTGGACCTGTACTTCCAGCTACTCAGGAGGCTGAGGCTTAAGGATCGCAAGGTTTAAAGCCAGCCTGGACAACTTAGCGAGACCCTGTTTCAAAATAAAAAATAAAAGTGTTCAGGGTTCCATCCCCAGTGCCACAGGCAGGGTAGGGTGGGGAGAAGGAGAGAGAGAGAGAGAGACAGAAAGAAAAAACAAACACAGAACTTTATTGGGTTGGGGCGCAGCTCAGCAGTAGAGCTTGGTGCTTGGTATGCACAAAGCTGTGGGTTAATCCTCAGCACCAAAAGAAAAAAACCCCAAAACAACAAAAGCCCTACTATCTCACTGCAATGAAATGGAAAGCCAGCAACAAATGCCATAAATAGAAGGTAGTCATAAAAATAAATATATAACTATTCAAATAAAAAATGTGTCTGGATCCACTTGAAATCATTTTGTATCACCGTCCACCCATTTTGGAAAACACGAAACCAATGCACTTAAGCAACCTGGGCTCCCTTGCCTAGTCCTCCTCTTGGCCTCTCCCAGCATCCGCCCTGTTTGCCAGGCTCAGGTTGACCCTCAGCTAGCATCGCCTCTCCTGGAGGGGGGGGGGAATCTCTCAAGGGCTTAGCCCAGGGGCTCCTTGACCCTTGGAAAATTCAGAGCTGCTGGGTCCTTTCATCTGTGTTCTTAAATTCCTGGGCCTAAGTGACCTTTTGGAGATGGGGTCAGCAGACCTCAGATTGGACTTGGAAAAAGAATAACTCCTTTTGAAGAGGTTGTTTCCCATTCTATAAGTACCTACTTTTTTTGTTTTAAATTTAAAATGGTAAAATATACAACTTTACAGACCGGAGAGGGATCATCTACTGACTAAACACAGTTATTACAGTTTCGGATGAGTCCTTTGAAATATGTACAGGGTTTATACCATTTATCAACTTGTTTAGAGCTTGTGACTCATTGTGTTTTGTCCCATATCTAATGTGAGCTCAAGAYAATTAAGAGAGTCAGGGTTGTGAAGTAGGTGGGGCAGGAATCATCTAACCCGTTTTTTCAGATGTGAAAACTGTAACCCAGACACACAATGTTACTTGCTAAAATATATCAATTACAGCCAGTTCTCTCTACCAGGCCACTGCTGCCTCTGTGTTAGAGCCCCAAGTTTTAAAAAAAACAAAGCGCACATGAGCTTATACTTTTTTTTTTTTCTTTGGTGGTGGGGCTGGGGATTGAATCCAGGGCCTTGTGCATGCAAGGCAAGCACTCTACCAACTGAGCTATATCCCCAACCCCTGGGGGCACATACTTTTAAAATTTAGAAGATAAAAATTTTCCATATTTCTAAACTGATACAATTCATTGTTTTAAAAAAAAATACAGGAGTCAACAAATAAGAGTCCCCAGTAGTCAGGCTCCCAAAGAAAACCCCATGAATTACTGGAGCTTTGCCAACCTTGACTTTTTCTGCACACACCCGAACCTATCATTTATCTATTTTACAAAAATAGATTTGCTTCATAAACACCATTTGGCAACCYCCACCCGCCCACCCACTAACCAATTCTTGGACATCTTTCCAAGGACAGAGCTTCTAAAATCACATTTTTAACAAAACAGAAGATCTTAGATGGGCACCTCCTTTGGCTGCAGCAGCAGCAGCACCCTGTTGGGGGAAGGAAGGCTTCATTCCCTCCTGGGTTCACTCTTTCATTCTGCGCAGAACGAAGGAAGGGTTATCTGTCAAAGAAGGTGTTAGCTCTTGGTACGTGGAGCATGATTTCCCTGGGAAGACCAGGGATCTTTGGGGTCAGGAAGCACAGGCAGCTCCTGGTAGAAAAGTCAGCTAGACAGGGAGGAAGAGGAGGAAGAGGTTTTGAACTGGAGAATATTAGGGGGCACAGACCTGGGTGGGGGTGGAGGTGGAGCCTCATTTCACATGGGTTCTGCTTGTCCTTCCCCGACTCTACCTTTCCCATCAAGTTTTTGTGGCAGTAGACTGGGTCCTGGCCCAGGATTTCTCCTCAGTGACCTCTGGCTTCCCTGCCCGCTGCCCGCTCCACTCTAGCACTTCTGTGGGCAGCTGTTGGAGTTGAGGATGAGAGGCTGGGGGTCTGGGGGTGGCCCATTGGTTCAAGGAAGGAGTGGTGTAGGGTTTTGTTCTTCTTTAAGTCTTTGGGCTACAGCAGGTTTTTAGGCCTGGGTCCAGAATATCTCCCAGCACTCTGCCTCCCCTACCTTTGTTCTCTCCCCTGTTTAGATTTTCTCAGACTCTGATTCCCAGGGAACTAAGGGATCTTCCCCAAGCACACAATTACCCCACTCTTTCTCACTCTGATCTTGGCCAAGCCTACAACCTAGGGCCCAACAGAGTTGTTTACCCACTGCTTGGACCCATTTACCCATTGCTTGGGCTGGTACCCACTCTGCTGCCTACAATCCCAGCCTCCACGGAGATCTCCCTGTCCCAAATCATAGCCTTTCTTTCTTTTTTTTTTCCTTTGTATGTATTTTTTATTTGTTCTTTTTAGATATACACGACATGGAGTATAACTTCCATTCTTGAGGTTGTACATGATGTGGAGTTATACAGGTTGTGYATTGATACATAACATAGGAAGGTTATGTCCAATTCATTCTTCTGTCTTTCTTATTCCCATCCTCCCTCCCTTCCCTTCATTCCCCTTCGTCTAATCCAAGGAACTTCTGTTTTTCTCTCCCTGCTTATTGTATGTTAGCATCTTCATATCAGAAAGAACATTTGACCTTTGATTTCTAGGGAATTGGATTAATTTCACTTAGTCTCCAGTTCTATCCATTTACTGGCAAATACCATAATTTCCTTCTTCTTTATGGCTGAGTAATACTCCATTGTGTATATATGCCACATTTTTTTCTACGTATTCATCTGTTGAAGGGCTCTTAGGGTTGGTTCCAGCTTAGTTATTGTGAATTGAGCTGCTCTTAACATTGATGTGGCTGTGTCACTGTAGTATGCTGATTTTAAGTTCTTTGGGTATAGACCAAGGAGTGGAATAACTAGGTCAAATGGTGGTCCCATTTTCAGTTTTCTAAACATCTCCATACTGTTTTCCAAGTGGTTGCACTGATTTGTATCCCACCAGCAACTTACAAGGGTACCTTTTTTTCTTGGGCTTGTTTTGAGGGTCATATGAGAAGTGTGAATAGGGGATTTTGCCAGAGCAGGGAGGAAATAATACCATTAAGAGGTTAAAAAGTTTTGAACTGTATAGGATATATAATAAAAAATAAATCCCATGGCAGGCGCGGTGGCACATGCCTGTAATCCCAGCAGCTGAGCAGGCTGAGGCAGGAAGTTTGAAAGTTCAAAGCCAGCCTCAGCAAAAGTAAGGTGCTAAGCAACTCAGTGAAACCCTATCTCTAAATAAAATACAAAATAGGGCAGGGGATGAGATTTAGTGTTTGAGTGTTCCTGAGTTTAATCCCTGATACTCCCCCACTCCAACTCATAGGATCCCACTTTCCCCACCCAGAGATAACCATTACCAGGTACATTATACATGGAAGTGCTCCCAGGCCTATTATTGTTTTGCACCCGAACACGTTCTGGAGATTGCCCTCCACCAGCAGGCCAGGAGCTGCCTTTTGTTTAACAGCTGACTTGCATTCCATTGTATGAAGTTCCCAAACCCATATAGCCGGTCCCTTCCCTACAGAGGGACACCTGTGTTGTTTCCAGTCTTTTGCTATTACAGACAATGCTGGAGTGAATGTCATTTGACATACTTTTTTTTGGTACACATGTATGAGACTGTCGAATAGAGTCCTAGAACTGGTGTTGCTGGGTCAAAAGGATCATGCACTTTTTTTTTAATTAAAAAAAATTTTTAGATGTTGATGGACCTTTATTTTATTCACTATTTGTAGTATGTAGTGCTCAGAATTGAGCCCAGTGCCTCACACATGCTAGGCAAGTGCTTTACCACTGAGCCACAACCCCAGCCCCGGTTCATGCACTTTTGATGTTGAGCTGTTACCAGCTCGTTCTGGAAAGACTGGGTATTGGATGGCTGCTGCCAAGACAGGAGTGCTGTCTCCCCATTTCCTCATTCACGTGAGGTGTCAGCAAACCCTTTGACCTTTACCAGTCTGACAGGTAGAAGTAGTATCTTACAGGTTCTTTGTTTTTGTTTTTTGTGAAGCTGGGGATCAAACCCAGAGCTTTGTACTGCCAGGCAAGCACTCTACCAACTGAGCTATATTCATATCTTGCAGTTTTGATTGATACTTCTTTCATTGCAAACCACCTTCCCTGTGCCCCCTTCACTGTTGTCCTCTCCCCCTTTCCCAAGGCTCATCATGCTTCCCAATGGTGTGCTCCAGATCCTGGGTGTTCAGGAGAACGACACAGGCTCCTACCGCTGCGTGGCCATCAATTCAGCCCGCCAGCGCTTCAGCCGGGAGGCCTCGCTCACCGTGGCCCACAGAGGTAAGGACCACCCAACCGGGAAACCTAAGGGTTTCTGGAGCCAGCCACCTGTGAGCTGGTAGGGACCCAAGAGGCCAGACCCAGCCTTCAGGTGGGTAGTAGGGTAGTCATCCCACCGGACAGGTAAGGAGAGAAGCCCAGAGGGGCAGTGCCACCCAGCCAACTGGGCATAGATCTGGAGCTAGAAACCAAGATCTCTGCTCCCAGTGCAGGACTCCTCACTTCCTGTGGAGTTTMTGTGTTCCCCTGGGTTGGACAGAGCAATGGGGATGGCTTCTGAGAAGGGGTGCCTTTTCTCTGCTGCGTTGGCACACCCCACAACCCCACTGTGAGCCCAGGGCTCCTGGCGCTGGAGGATTCGCCCTGCTCTGCTTACTCTGCACAGCCAGTCTGGCTTCCTGAGGCCTTTTCTATTTCTGCCTGTCTGAAAAGCTCCTGCCCCAGTGTTATAGGTGTAGGAAGAGTAAAGCTTTGGGGTCAGAAAGACCTGGTTTGAATCCAGGCTGTCTACTTACCATCTGCTTGACCCTGGGCCTGCTATCAAATGTTTAGCTCAGAGATGTAGAAYACTAGCTGTAGATGTGCCTGGCACTTAGCAAATGCCCTGCAGATCTCATTTCAGTCCTCCCCCAAGGGCCCCTTGCTTCCCTTTGCTGTGGCATCCTCCCCTCCAGGTCCCCTCCCTGCTTGCTCCTGGACTTTGACTGGTGAGCTACTCCGGAGTCTGGTTCACTTTCTCTCCTGAGCCCAGAGTCTCTGCCTCCACCTGCTGGACAAACCACGAGTTCATCATTCTGTCCAGAGGCCCAGGGTCACGCTGAGAACCTGGCAGAGAAGCTGGGCTTTTGGAGCTGCTGAGCTGGCAGAAACTTGAAAACCCGCTGCCACCACTCCACCTTTTCCACATGGGAACCCAGGGCCCTGTGGGGAAGGGACTTAGCTAAGGTCACGCAGCGTGTTAATAGCAGTRCTGGAACCAGAGCTACGAATGCTGAGTCCAAGCCCTGTGCTGCCCCACCACCCTGCAGTCCTCTGCCCAGAGGGTGGGTTGGATTTGGCAGGGCAGAATGGAGGGAGGTGTGGATCTATCCTGCTATTCCTCTGGTGCTGCACCAGAGGCCAGGCCGTTCTTCTGGTTCTAAGAAAAATCGAGTTTCTAGTCCCAGCTCTGCTGAACTTGGTGGCTACTTTCTCATCTGCTTGATGAAACCATGGCTGCTCCCTGCCAACTGCCTCGACAGGTGACCAGGAGCCTCGGGTGAGGTATGTCAGGTAAAGGTGCCTGCTGGTAAGGCTGCCACTGGCCTGTCTTCTCTCCAGGGTCCCTGGCGGCCACCAGGGGGCAGGATGTGGTCATCGTGGCGGCCCCGGAGAATACCACCGTGGTATCTGGGCAGAGTGTGGTGATGGAGTGTGTGGCCTCGGCTTACCCCACCCCTTTTGTATCCTGGGTCCGACAGGGTGAGTGGAAAGAGAAGGGCATAGGAAGGGAGGGACATGGCATCCCCAATCAGGGAGTCGTATGTGTGATCACTCAGTGTGGTAGGGACCGGGTGTGGTGGGCAGCCAGGTCAGGGTCAGCATGGGAGAACAAACCTAGTCATCCACTGTGTGGTGTGTTTTCTTGACAAGACACTTTGGATCTGCCACTCATGAAACTGTTTCTGTSGCTTTACTGAGGGTGGATGGGCCCTGGGTTAGAGTCTTACTTATGTCTGTTCCTCATAACAGTGTTGCAGGTGAGGGTTTGAGAACTGAAGCATGCTTGCTGGCCAGCGAGTGAACAGGAGCCAGAAGGCCACTGCTGGTCGGTGTATTGACAGCCAGCTCTTGGCAATGCAGCATGCTGCTACCTCTGTGTGCAGTAAACTCAAAGTACAGTTGAGCTGGAGGGACCCTGGCCTCCACACTCACAGTGTGGGTGAGGGAGATGGAGATAAACCATGTGCCCTTACCCAGGAAGAGAGGCTTGACAGTATCAGGCCAGGAGTGAGAAGCACCTCATGGACTGAGTTCCTGGAGATGCCATCAGGGTAATAAGAGCGCAGGGCCAAGGGTCACGGCACAGTGTGCTGAGCACTTGACACTGGTCTCCTGTCAGAGACTCCAAGATCCCTCTGAGGAGAGCAGGGGCCAAGATGGGCAATCCCAGTGGGCAGATGAGGAACAGAGACTCAGGCAGGTAGAGAGCCAGGACCAAGCTTTAGGGCTTGTTCTCTGTCTAGTACACCGTCCCTCCAGTCCTATAGAAAGCAAGCTAGGGTAATTTTTATTTCCACTTGATGATAAGAAGTGACTTGCCTCAAGGTGATGGCAGATGTGTCTTAAATCCAGCTTTTTTAATTATTTATTTTTTTAGGTGTAGATGGACACAACACAATGCCTTTATTTTTATGTGGTGTTGGGGATCAAACCCAGGGCCTCGCCTGTGCTGGGCGAGCACTCTACCGCTGAGCCACAATCCCAGCCCCTTAAATCCAGCTTTTTACACTTCTTCTGACTCATTTCKTTACCCTATACTGCCTCCATTCCTTAAGTTTCCATCTCACACTCAAAAGAGAATAGAATGCAGAGTCTAAAGAAAAACAATAAATGGAGCAACTGTGTGTCCAACACTGAGAGAATGAAATAGAACAGTGCTGGAATCTTTGCTCCTATCTGAACTACACTCCCTCATTGCACTGTGACACCTGCCTAGTTAGGGAGCATCCCAGGGCCAGCAGGACCCTGGCACTATTACTTGGGTAAGGGTGTGGCATCACCCAGAAGGCCTGATATCAATATTTCTTAATCCTGGCCATGCATCAAGATCACCCAGGGAACTTGTTAAAGCTTCAGACATCTTCCCTTCACCTTGGGGAGCCAAGACCTAGGAATCTTAGTGCTCAGAAAGTGTCCTGTCTCATTGCTGGTCACAGTGTGGTCTCTGGACCTATCATCTTAGCCTAGTTAGCAGTGCAGAATCTTCGGCCTGCCCTCGGCCTCCTCTCAATAAGGGCCCCCTGAGATTCTGTGCACAGTAAGGATAAGAGAATTGCTTTCCCAGAGTATCCTAACACCTGTGGTTCTAGAAGCTTACRTGGGTCAAGGGTAGAAAGAGAAGTACAGGAAAGGAGCTTCATTCTGACCCCAGGTCCTGCTCTCTTTCCAGGAACTCACTTCACTAAGTCAGGGAGGTACTTGGGCTTTGTGACTACAAATGCAACACATGTTCATTGTAGAAAATTGGGGAAAAAATATAAGCAGAAAATATCCCACCACTCAGATAAAACTTGTTAACATATAAAAACATTTTTTCTTCCAAGTTTTTTTCTAAGCTTATGTACATTGTCCCCTGAAACTGAGAAAACATGCTGTACATACAGTTCCCAGCTGTTTTCACTGAAAAGTGTCTCATAAGCATTTCCCAAACCTTAACATTTTTTCAAAAATAATTCGAATGCCTATAATACTCCATCATAGGAATGCATCTATAATGTGATCCACCAGTTCCTACTGTTGTATATTTAAGTTCTTCACAGTTGTTTGCTATTTCAGTTAACACTGCAGTGATCTTTCCTGCTAACAAATACTTGCCTATGGCAGGCACAGTGGCTGTGCGCCTGAATCCTAGAGGCTTGGGAGGCTGAGGCAGGAGGGTCATGAGTTCAAAGCCAGCCAGCCTTAGCAATTTATCAAGGCCCTAGGCAACTCAGCAAGACCCTGTCTCTAAATATATAAGAAAAAAAAGCGGGAGCTGGGGATGTGGCTTAGTGGTTAAGCACCCCTGGATTTAATCCCTTGTACCAAAAAACAAACAAACARACAAAAAAATACTTGCCTATGAGTCTAATCATCTCCATGGGACCARGATGGATAAGTGGAATTCCTGGCCTCAAGGTCAAGATGGAGCTCTTTTATGACCCTTTCTCCATCATTGTAATTTACTGTTTTTGAAACCATTCCCAAGTTGATGGATGAAAATTAACATGTTTTGTTGTGCATTTTTTAATTTCTTGGTCATTTTCAGTTGCCTGGGGTGGCCCTTTGATAGTCCCATTGTCCCTTGTGTTACCACCCAGGCATGGACAATGTGGAATACCAGTTTGAATGTGGAATACCTCAGTTGCTGAGGCTGGTTTTGAACTCGTGATTCTTCTGCCTCAGTCTCCCAAGCCGCTAGGATTACAGGCATGCACCATCATGACCAGCGGTCATTTGCATTTCTTGTCTGGATTTTCCATACATGCCTGTAAAGGCAAGAGCTTTTAAATGGCTTTCATTTCATATCAAGATAAAAGTCTCTGCACATATTTAAATTTTTGCTCTGGCCATATTTTACTAGTGCAATCCTCATCACAGTACTGAGGTAAGACCATAGGGAAGGAATGTCCTTAAGAGAAGTGAAATTAATAATGGTAATATCAGTGAGTGACTAGCGTACCAAATACTTATTATATGCCTTTACTGTGCGCCAGGAGTTTTCAGACCTTACTCTTTCCCCTTCACAGCTGTCCTTCTACCTAGGGAATCTCTCCTCAGTGGCGCACACCTGTAATCCCAGGAGTCTGAGGCAGGAGGATCATGAATTTAAAACCAGCCTTATAGCGAGGCCCTAAGAAACTCAGTGAGACCCTGTCTCTAAATAAAACATTTAAAAAAGGGCTGGGGGATGTGGCTCAGTGATTGGGCGTCCCTGGGTTCAATCTCCAGTACAAAAAAAAAAAAAAAAACAACAAAACAAAACAAAACAAAACGAAAAATCAGGGACAATAGAAGGCCACTGGGCTGGCAAGAGAAGGAGCTGAGATTCCAGCCAGCGACTGTGGTGTTAACTTTACTTGCTGTAGCGGATTCCCGAGGTGAGGGGGCGGAGGAGCGCCCCCCTCTAGCGCGCCTCCCCTCTTGCTGCAGACGGGAAGCCCATCTCCACCGACGTCATCGTGCTGGGCCGCACCAACCTGCTCATCGCCAGCGCACAGCCCCGGCACTCCGGCGTCTACGTCTGCCGAGCCAACAAGCCCCGCACTCGCGACTTCGCCACCGCCGCCGCGGAGCTCCGCGTGCTGGGTGAGGTGGGATCAAGGATGAGCGAGCGGTGTGGAGGAGGGGGACTGGAGTGGATCTGCCGGGCCTGAGGGGACACTAAAGAAGGGGAAGTAGGCAGGTGGGACGGAGGGATGCTCCTGGAGGATGAGAAAGGGTTAGGGAGGACGAGCTCATGGGAGGAGTCCTGGTGAGGAGGTAGATGGGGGTATGTTAAGTAGTACCTGGAGGTTGGAGTGGTGGGTGGAGTTGAGTGAGGGACAGGAGAAGGGGTCTCGGGCGTGGCTTGGGTGGGTGCGTGGGGCGGGGGAGTACTGGAAGAGGTAGCAGAGCAGTCTGGGTGGTAGTAAGACTGGGCACCAGGCTTGCTCCGGCTTGGGATAACTGCAGAGAGGGCAAGAACTGTTAGGTGGGGAGACATTGGCAGGTAGAGGAGAAGGAGGTGGGTAAGTGAGGGCGTGGGGTTAGAGCCGGCAGGAGCGGAGAGTTTTAGGGGAGGCTCTAGAGTCCTGGGGATCATTCGGGAGAGGCCTGTGMGAGGTTCCTGGGGCAGGCGGGATAGACCTGCGCTGGACTAGTTAGGGAGGGGTGAGTCTGGGACAGGTTAGAATCACTGGAGAGGGGAGTGGGGGCGGCACGGTTGGGGTAAGGGGGGGAATAGAGCCCCTAGTGGCAGGAGACCGTGGTCAGCGTTGTCCCTCCTGCCCCCAGCTGCACCTGCTATCTCGCAGGCGCCAGAGGCGCTGTCGCGGACACGGGCGAGCACCGCGCGCTTCGTGTGCCGCGCGACTGGGGAGCCCAAACCCACTCTACGCTGGCTGCACGACGGGGCGCCGCTGCGGCCCAACGGGCGCGTCAAGGTCCAGGGTGGCGGTGGCAGCTTGGTCATCACGCAGATCGGCCTGCAGGATGCTGGCTACTACCAGTGCGTGGCGGAGAACAGCGCGGGAACTGCGTGCGCCGCCGCGCCGCTGGCGGTGGTGGTGCGCGAGGGACTGCCCAGCGCCCCCACTCGGGTTACCGCCACACCGCTGAGCAGCTCCGCTGTATTAGTGGCCTGGGAGCGGCCYGAGCTGCACAGTGAACAGATCATTGGCTTCTCCCTCCACTACCAGAAGGCACGGGGTACGTCTACCCAAGTCCCCAGGGGCCCCAGCAGAAGCCTATGCCCTGCACAGTAGGGAGCGAGCACAAGTTGGATGACTGAAGGGTTTTCTGGTGRTTACCTCTGGGGATGGGGTTGGAGCCCACAGAAGAGATCCACTTATTTGTTGGGGATCTTCAGCCAGGTGCTAGAGGGACATTCAATGTACGTGGGTCACTTCCCCTCTGCCACTTTTGATATAAGAGGAAGGAGAAGATGCTTCTCCTTTAGGGAAAATTTCTGGTAATTCCTGGAGCCACCTCCTACCCTAGTTAACTAACTGCAACAGGAATTATTTCAGTTAGACACCAGAAAGAACCTCACAGCCAGGGGAGAAACTAATACAATGAGAAGACTAGAAGCCAAGGGAGTTTATACTCTCCAGCTCAGAGTATCTGGGATGATTTAGCTATAAATAGACAATTAGAGATGGAGATGCTATGGAATATCTCTAGGCACACTCCGGATGGCCAGGGCCTAGGGTGGCCCTTTGATAGYCCCATTGTCCCTTGTGTTACCACCCAGGCATGGACAATGTGGAATACCAGTTTGCAGTGAACAATGACACCACAGAGCTACAGGTTCGGGACCTGGAACCCAACACAGATTATGAGTTCTACGTGGTGGCCTACTCCCAGCTGGGGGCCAGCCGCACCTCCACCCCAGCACTGGTGCACACATTGGATGACGGTAGGGCCTCCGAACCTGTAGCTAGCAGCCTGGGGTCCAGAGAGCTCCCTGGGGTGGGGGGGAGGTGGCTCCCCTTCTCTTTACTAGGGTTGCACCAAGGCACTTTTGCCTGCCTGTGTCATCTTTTGTGCCCTATAAGGGAGTATGCAGGGTCTGTAAATTGGGGAAACTGAAGCCCAGCAAATGAGAGTGACTTGCCCAAGGTCAGTAGTACAGCTGGGACTTGAGCCCAGGACTTGGGATTCCCCATATCATACAGTCCTTCTCCCTGACACCCATGTACCATCCAGCTAGGGGAAGGGCCAGGGGCATTGAGCCACTGAATGGGAACATTGTGCCCCACACCATTTTCTAGCTTCAGGGTGGGAAGAATGTCCCCTTATCCTCCAGCTTAGGGCTCCCCTGAGAGGCTCCCTTTCCTCCCTCAGATCCTGGTCCTGGGCCTACTTCTGACTTGCTGTGTGACCTGGGCAAGTCTCTGGCYGCTCCTGAGCCTCACCTCCCACGACGGTGGAGCAGAGCTCATGCTGATGTTCTTCTGTCTCAGTCCCCAGTGCAGCGCCCCAGCTTGCCCTGTCCAGCCCCAACCCCTCGGACATCAGGGTGGCGTGGCTGCCCCTGCCCCCCAACCTGAGCAATGGGCAGGTGGTGAAGTACAAGATAGAGTACGGTTTGGGAAAGGAAGGTGAGTGGCTGGCAGGGGCAGGGTGGTTGGGAGTTACTCAACGGTCTGAGCTGCTGGAGAGCTGAACAGAGGGGGAGCCTGAGGGGTGGTGGAGTGGGGAAAGCCGACCCTGGGAAAGAGCAGCATGTAATCCCAGCTCGGGAGGCTGAGGCAGGAGGATCGCGAGTTCAAAGCCAGCATCAGCAAAAGCGAGGCCCTAAGCAACTCTGTGAGACTGTCTCTAAATAAAATACAAAATAGGGCTGGGGATGTGGCTCAGTGGTCGAGTGCCTCTGAGTTCAATCCCCAGTACCCCCTCCCCCCAAAATAGAGCAGCGTGGGCTGGGGTTGGGGTCAGCAGGGATGAGAAGGGCAGGCAAAGAGGCTGCTCAAGGTCGAGGGAGGCCTGGGGTCTAGTCCTACCTCCTCTGCAGCTGCAGTGTGTAGTCCATTTGGGTCTCTGTTTCCTCATCTGTGAAAGGAGACACAGGTAATCCTTGAAATCCTTCTGGCTCAAAAAACAGATTAGAGATGAGGAGGTGGAAGGTGTGCTCTTGGGGCTGGGAAATATGGAGACGGAGGGGTGTGTTAGGGCAGATGGAGTCATATAGGGAAGGGGCTCGGAAGGGGTAGAGATAGGAGAAGGAAAGTGACTGGAAGTCCAGGCTCAGGGCGARGAGGGAGGAGAAGGTAATTCTCAGGGCTCTAGAAGCCAGGTGGCAGTTGATGGCCTTCCTGGCCAGCCTTGTGTCTGCATTCTGGTTGTGTGTTGAGGGGTCAACACAGGGAGGGGGAGAGCATGCCTGGTTCTCTGCATGCTTGCTGGACTACATCAGCCAGAGCTGAGGCCCAGGAGTGGGCCCTGGAGCCTGGAGTCTGTCCAGGTTCGGAGGGCCTCAGGCCCCRGCAGGCACGGAGGAACCAGGATCTGAAGTGGAAGAGTCAGTGTAGGGAGCTTAGAGGTCATGGTCCCCAGGTAAGAGCCAGCAGCCCATCTTTCTTGTCCCAGCAGATCAGATTTTCTCCACCGAGGTGCCAGGGAACGAGACTCAGCTTATGCTAAACTCCCTTCAGCCAAACAAGCTGTACCGTGTGAGGGTGTCRGCGGGCACTGGGGCCGGCTACGGGGCCCCCTCACCATGGATGCAGCACAGGACACCCAGCGTGCACAACCAGAGCCATGGTATGGGGCTGGAGGGAACAGAACAGTGAGTGTGGTGGTGTGGGTGTGACAGTGAGTATTTGTGTGCCCTTGGACCCCAAGACCTCACCACCCCATCCATCAGAGGCCTTCTGTAGCTCCCCCTGCTTCACAGGTAAGGGAAGCCAGGGTGAAGGGCTGGGCCCTGGTGTCCTTTCTGTCCACCCTTTGACCTTGGACAAACCATTCACAACTCTGAAGCTTCATTTACTGCTGAGACACGGCACATGGATTAATAATTAATGTATGGTAAATGACTTGCTTAGAACCTCAGGAGAACCCCTTAAGTGGCAGCTGCTTTGGTGATTTTGATTGTTGTTTTCCTGGAGAGCCCAGTAATAGAGTGATTAAGTGCAGACAAAAGCTATCACACATACTATCTGACACTGGACAAGTTACTTAACTTCTCTGAGCATCGGTTTTTCTATCTGTAAAATGGACATCATACTATTTGCTGAGCTGGGGATGAAGCTCAGTAGTAGAGTGCTTTTGTCTAGTGTGCACAAGGTCCTAGCTTCAATCCCCAGTACTTTAAAAAAACAAAGTTTTTTTTTGTTTGTTTGTTTTATAAGATTATAAGAATAAAGTTAAAATACACATGCAAAGTGCTTTAAACAGTGTCTGACCCGTAGTAAGCCCCCACTTTGGGTTCCAAGAGGGACTCCCCACTCTGATGGCTCCCTCCCTCCTTCCTGGCTTCCCTAGCCCCTTGCCRGAATTTGCTCCTTCAGGAAACTTACAGAGCCTCCTCTGTGCCAGACAAAGGTGCCCCTCGACGCGCCTTGGCAAATGCTCAGCAGGCCCCTGCACTCCCAGCTCTGCCTGAGTCCAGGTGCGCTGGTGCTGGCTGAGTGGCGCCTTGCTGGGGAGACACTGCGAGCTCCCTGGAACCCCATCTCCCTGCCTCTTCCCTGGCCCCTCCCCCCGCCACCCYGGTTTCTTTCTCTGCATTCCTCATTCTCCCTCCTTTTCCCCATCCTGCTCTTCTGTCYCCAGTCCCTTTTGCCCCTGCAGAGTTGAAGGTCCGGGCAAGGATGGAGTCTCTGGTCGTGTCATGGCAGCCACCTCCCCACCCCACCCAGATCTCTGGCTATAAACTGTACTGGCGGGAAGTGGGGGCCGAGGAGGAAGCTGGTGGTGACCGCCCCCCAGGGAGCCGYGGAGACCAGGCTTGGGATGTGGGGCCTGTCAGGCTCAAGAAGAAAGTGAAGCAGTATGAGCTGACCCAACTAGGTGAGGAGCCTGGGGACGGGAGGCAGGGCACAGGACTGCATCAGGGACCAGACACAGGGTGGAAGAGGGGACAGTGGCTGCAGAGTCCTTCTAGCCAATGAGTGACCCTGTGACCTCCCCCAGTCCCTGGCCGGCTGTACGAGGTGAAGCTTGTGGCGTTCAACAAACACGAGGATGGCTACGCAGCAGTGTGGAAGGGCAAGACGGAGAAGGCGCCCACGCCAGGTGAGGGTGCTAGGGAGGAGGGGCGGCGGCAGGGGGGGGACTGCGGGCCGCTTGCTGCCCTCTCCCCTGGGCCAGTCTGACCAGCAGGGCAGGCAGGGTGGTAGCCTCAGCTCACTCTGAAGCCCATCTTCCTAGGTAGCGTCCTCTTCCTGGCCAGGCTAAAGAGAGCCCCAGCCCCTGCTCCTGCGCTGTATTTCAGGCCTGTTGCCTCTTTTTTTTTTTTTTTTTTTGTATTTTTTGGGATTGAATTCTGGGCACTTGACCACTGAGCCACATCCCCAGCCCTATTTTGTATCTTATTTAGAGACAGGGTCCCACTGAGTTACCTAAGACCTTGTTAAGTTGTGGAGGCTGGCTTTGAATGCATGATCCTCCCGCCTAAACCTCCCAAGCCGCTGGGGTTACAGGTGTGCACCACCACATCCGGCAGGCTCAGTGATTCCTGAGCCCAAGTTTGGCCTTAAAAAAACTTTTCAAACACATCCATCCACATCACACCATCTATCTGATCATCTTTCCACTCTGGACAGGGAGAGTGTCCCTGTGTGCTCTACAGGGAAACCAAGGCTCAGAGAGGTAGGCTTGTCCCAGGTCACACACAGCTGAGACCAGACAGATTCCTGGCTCCCAGGTGGGTCTTTCTGCTGTGTTGCACTGCTCTGTAGCCCTTGGTTGCCGGTCATGGTACTTCCTCACCCCTGACTTCCAGGCTGATTTTCAGCCATGTGGTAGAGCAGGAAAAGTGCTCAAGAGAAGCCAAGAAACCTGGGTTCTAATTCCAGTTTGTTCATTTATTCATTCAGCAATTTTTTTACTGAGTATCTACTACGTGCCAGCTCTGTTCTGGGAATTTAGTGATGATCAACACAAATAAGGTACCTGCTGTCATGGAGTTTATTCTATTTTATGTTTATATAATAAACACTTATCATCAAATAGTACATACTGTGTGCCAGACACTTTCCTATCTGCTTTATAAATATTAATGAACTGAGTCCTCATAACAACCCCATGAGGTAGGTACTATCATCAGATGCACTTACAGAATAGGGAATGGAGGCACAGAGAGATTAAGTAACTTCTCTAAAGTCACATAGCTAGTAAGTGGCAGAGCTGGAATTTGAACCAAGGCAGCCTAGCTCTAGAATCTGTGCTCTTCTTAAGCCACAGTATGCTGTCTCTCTATGTATACATTGCATTCTTATGTCCTATATCTGCTATGTGTGTGCCCTTGACAAAAATCACTTAGATTGTTGGGAGTCTCAGTTTTGTTACCTGCAGGATCAAAAGAAAGGGCCCAAGGGCAAGCCTCAGGGACTATGACCACTATACAGTGGGGGGAGYGTCCTCTCTCCCTTCCCCACACTCTAATCTTCCCCTTCTAGACCTACCCATCCAGAGGGGGCCGCCCTTGCCCCCCGCCCACGTCCATGCAGAATCAAACAGCTCCACRTCTATCTGGCTCCGGTGGAAAAAGCCAGACTTCACCACAGTCAAGATTGTCAACTACACGGTGCGCTTCAGCCCCTGGGGCCTGAGGAACGCCTCCCTGGTCACCTATTATACCAGGTGGGGAGGAGAGACTGATGCTGGGAAAAGTGGGGGGGGGGACCACASGGGACCCTGGGGTTCAGAGACGGCTCACCTGTTCCCACTGCGGCGCGCTGAAGGTCTGCGCGGCCCACTGCCTTGCCTGTGGACCAGAAGGTGACGGGTGAGAAAGGAGAGGCTGTTTGACCATCTCCTCAGGACAGAGCATTGGTCTCCACCTTTGGAGAATGGACCAGAATCATCTTGCTTCTCCAGCCTCCGGGGGCTCCCTGTCTGCAGGGAGAAAGCCCTGCCACTGTCCTCAGAAACCCACCCTCAGAGAGATGGGAGGCAGTTCCTTTGGGAGGATGCTGATGGGAGCAGCTGTTCCTTTGACAAACACTGCGTTAAAAGCCCCTGATGTCTGGGKCWGGGGTTGTGGCTCACTGGTTGAGCGCTTGCTTGCYTGGCATGTGTAAGGCTCTGGGTTCAGTTCTCAGCACCACATATAAATAAATAAAATTAAAGGTCCATCAACAACTWAAAAWAWATATATATWTWWAAAAAAWWTTTTATGTGTACAATTGCCACTAAGGCAGAATTAAGCCAAGATGGAGAAATGGTTCCTGGGGTGGGGAAATTAACTGGATTAATTCAGGAAGGCTCTCTGGAGAGGGGTGTCTGACTTGGAGATTAGAAGTGGAGGGACATYTCTGTAGGTCCTCTGGGGTGTGTTTGTGGCCCYAGTTCAGGCCAGCTCCCTTTCCAGAGCAAGGCCTAGGGCTGGGGGCTGGGCCTGCTGGCAATGCCCAGAGCGCTAGCCAGCTCCTGCCCCACAGCTCTGGAGAAGACATCCTCATTGGCGGGCTGAAGCCTTTCACCAAGTACGAGTTTGCGGTGCAGTCTCATGGAGTGGATGTGGACGGGCCTTTTGGCTCTGTGGTGGAGCGCTCCACCCTGCCTGACCGTGAGTGGTCTCAGCCCCTTGCCACCAGCCCACCTCCTGCCTCTCTCCTTCTTGYTCCTGTGGCCCTCTTTTCTGAAGATTCTCTCAGAATCTCAAGGTCTGGGCAGAGCYGAGTGGAGGAGAGCTTCAGGGAGGGGAGGAGCTGAGGAGCACTGCCCCTGCCATTCTCAGGGACTCCCCAACTAGAGGCCAGAGCTCATCCGGGCTGTGTGGCTTGCTCCATGAGGGAGGAGGGGGGGGACTGTCATCCCCTGACTCCCATGTCCACAGAGCTGGRCTTCCAGTGGCCCTGCTCTCATCCCTCCCCTGCACTCCAGGGCCCTCGACACCGCCATCTGACCTGCGCCTGAGCCCTCTGACGCCATCCACTGTTCGGCTGCACTGGTGTCCCCCCACGGAACCCAATGGTGAGATCGTGGAATATCTAATCCTATACAGCAACAACCACAGCCAGCCCGAGCACCAGTGGACACTGCTCACCACCGAGGGTGAGGGCCCCTGCCCAGCCCACCCCCACTCCAGCAGCCGGGCTCTCAAGGAGAGCAGCACCGAGGCCATTCTGGGGCTTCTGAGATTAACAGGGAGCCTCTGCTGCCCAGTGAAAGGCCGACTTCTCAGCCCTGTGTCCCACCCCACCCACCCCTCACCCTGCTCTCCCACTTCCCCCACCCCAGGAAACATCTTCAGTGCTGAGGTGCATGGCCTGGAGAGCGACACCAGGTACTTCTTCAAGATGGGGGCACGCACAGAGGTGGGCCCTGGGCCCTTCTCCCACCTGCAGGATGTAATCACTCTCCAGGAGAAGTTCTCAGGTAGGAGCRTCTGGAGGAAGGAGGACTACCTACCCTGGGGCAGCCAGGTCCCCACCAGCTCCTGGAGTAGACTTCCAAGCCCCTGCCTCTGGGTACAACTACTTAGCTCTCAGTTTGGACAGCTGCCCTCCTGGTTGGTTGGGAGCAGGGTGAACTGGAAGGGAGAAAGTGGTAAGGTGGTGACTTGGTTGAGAGGCCAGCTTCCTAACAGACTGGTGTGRCTTAGAGACCATTTCTTCGAGAGATTGCTTTTGATTGGTGGATTGGCTTGGCCAGGTGATGAGCTTTTTGGCTGGAGGTGRGTAGGACTGGCTAAGTGACTTTCAGGGCTCAGTGTAAAATGATAATCCAGGGCTCTTCATTTTAAAAAATTACAAATTTAAGCCGAGCGTTGTGGTGCACACCTGTAATCCCAGCGGCTCGGGAGGCTGAGGCAGGGGRATCACGAGTTTAAAGTCAGCCTCAGGAAAAAGCGAGGTGCTAAGCAACTCAGTGAGACCCTGTCTCTAAATAAAATACAAAATAGGGCTGGGGATGTGGCTCAGTGGTCGAGTGCCCCCCCCCAGTACCCCCGCAAAAAATTTATGAATTTTAAGATGATGACCACAGAGCGTTAAGCCACGTGGGCCTGAGGCAACTGCACACCATGAAGCAAGACCTAGTGGGCAGGCAGGCGGTTCACCGCATTGAAAGGCCAGTTTGATGTGGACAGACCACAGCCTGTGGATGTGTGGGGTGGGACCACCAGGCGGGTGGTGGTGGTTCTTGTGAGGGTGTAGGGCCCTCCTGTCTTGGCATGAGAAGATCGCAAACTGCTGAAAGCTGAAGCCAGTGGTCTCCTGTGGAAGCTCAAGTCATCCTGATCTGTGAGCCGCTGCCTTTCTCCTGTATTTGACCATCTCTGTCCTGTCTTTGCCCCGCCAGACTCCTTGGATGTGCACTCAGTCACAGGCATCATCGTGGGTGTCTGCCTGGGCCTCCTCTGCCTCCTGGCCTGYATGTGTGCTGGCCTGCGACGCGGCCCCCACAGGTGGGCAAGGACACCTATCTGACCAAAGACAGATTTCCAGAAAGGGCTGCAGAATGGGCAAACCGGGAAAGTCACCAGGATCCCCATTAAAGTTAGGACTTGGGGAGCTGGAGGCCAAGCTTGGGGGTAGAACACTTGCCTAGCATGTAGGTATGAGGCCATGTTTGAACCCCAGCATTGCAAAAATTAAATTAAATGGGACTCTAGGGTGAAGGGACATGGGAGTGGTGGGAGATGTTCTTATAAGAATGGGGGTGGGCTTAGGGGGTCTCCCAGTTAGCAAGGACAGACCAAATCACCTTGCTCATGCTTCCAGCATCTTGGAAATAAAGGCCCCAGACTTTCATATTTCTGGASCTGGGGTAGAAGGAACCATGTCGGGCTGTTTGGATAATAGTTGTTCCCTACTCTTTGTGTAGATTGGAAAACAGGGCCCAAAGGTAGGCAGGAACCTGGCCTGAGACATGTCAGGGCTGGATGCCAGTCCCAGCCCACTCTCCACTCTGACCACTGGGCCTTGTTTCCCATCTTGCCTTCCAGGGAAGCCCTCCCAGGCCTGTCCTCCACTGCCACAGCTGGGAATCCAGCGCTGTACTCTAGAGCCCGGCTGGGCCCACCTAGTCTCCCTGCTGCCCATGAGCTGGAGTCCCTTGTGCACCCCCGACCCCAGGACTGGTCCCCACCACCCTCAGACATGGAAGACAAGGCTGAAGTGCACAGCCTTATGGGTGGCAGCATTTCGGACTGCCGGGGTCACTCCAAGAGAAAGGTAGCCTGAAGTCTAGTTTACATCAGAGACCCCCGCTCCTGCTCATTCCCAAATAGGACACCAGAGGGCGCCAGAGCACAATGTGTGACTGCAAGGGTCACCGGTCCCCACACCACACATACCCAATTGCAAAAGAGGCACATTCTCCCCTCTCCATCAATGATTGGCAGGAMCAGGAAGCAGGTGGGTCTCCATTCCCGCAGAATATACTGGCCTGCTTTTCATCAAGGGGAAAGTCCTTGTTTGCAGGTGACTGGAGCTGGCCAGAACACCTCTTCGTCCCCAGAGCTGGGAGCCTTCTTAAGACTGAGGAGGGAGAAGAAACTGGTCAGCTTGTCTGTGGCCAAGTGGGACCAAGATATGGACAGGCCCCTGAAAGATAGAGCTCCCCACGCTGGCAGTGGTCACTCATCTCAGCCAGCTGACCCATCAGTCCTTCCCTCACCTCCCTGCCAGGCTGGTATTAGGCTGTCTACAGAGGGGCCGCCGCATCCGCAAACTCTCCTACTCACACACGGCTTTCCTGTGCTTCTCCCTGTCCTTGGGAAGGGGCTTTAGCAGGGAACTTGTGGTCAGGGAGATAGAAGGGRGCCAGGACTCTGGGTTCTGCTTCTCCATGGTCCCATCTATTTCCCTCCTTCGTGCTTCCCTCTCCCAGCCAATCCCCATCACGCTCCTCAGTGTCCTCTTCTTTCTCCTGTGCAGATCTCCTGGGCTCAGCCAGGTGGGCCAAGCTGGGCAGGTTCCTGGGCCAGCTGCGAGCTGCCCCAGGTGGGCCCCAGGCCTGCTSTGACCCAGGCCCTGTTGCCCCCTGCTGGAACTGGACAGACGCTGTTGCTGCAGGCTCTGGTGTATGATGCTATAAAGGTCAGTATCCTGGGAATAAGGGTTGGAAAAGGATCTGGATATTATCATCATCTTGGTGGGACACTTCCTGTTTCCTTTTCCACCTCTCTTATGATACATACTCTCATCTTGGTGGGACACTTCCTGTTTCCTTTTCCACTTCTCATATGATGCATACCCTGATGTACAGTCAGTCTCTCTCTGTTCCACGAATGTGGTTCTTGTTTCTGATCATTCTCAGTGATGGTCCCTGGTCTTTGTGTTCTGTGCTCTAACCAGGGTAATGGGAGGAAGAAGCCACCCCCAGCCTGCGGAAACCAGGTGGAGGCCGAGGTTATTGTCCACTCTGACTTCAGTGCATCCAAAGGGAGCCCTGACCTCCATCTCCAAGACATAGAGCCTCAGGACTCTCTGCCTGCAGAGGCTTCTGGCCTCTCCTCTGGTGTTGTGGATCTCAGGCCCCGGGCAGACTGGCTAGACAGGGAGCTGGAAGGGTGTGAGCAGACAGCCACTGGACCAGACAGACTTACCTGCTTGCCAGAGGCAGCCAGTGCCTCCTGCCCCTATCCGGATCTCCAGCCCAGTGAGGCTCCGGAGGAGGCCTGTGGGAACAGCTGCCAGCCCAAAGCCCCCTGCTCTCCAGGAGCCAGCCCAGGCCTGCCCAGGGTCCCCGTCTCCTCTGCTTAGCTCCCCTAAGCAGAAGGTGCAGTCTAAGCAGGCTGATATGGCTCATGGTATGTGACATGCATGGCCATGCCTATACACATGTGTACCTGCAGATATCATCAAGCCCTTTGGAGCCTCCTAGGATGCTTTGGCTGGGGGGAGAGGAAGAATTGGATCATTCACTCCCCCCACACTCTTTGTGACACACATGTGATATGTGAGAGACATGTGAGACACAACTACGTGTGATGTGCACATGTGTGAAGCCACATGTGTGTGTACTGGTTGGTGAACTGGGAAACCCTGGCTACCATAGTGGTGACTATGGCCTCATYGATTCTCCAGGTCAGGACAGTATCCCAGAGTGGTCAGTCCCCATCCCTGTGGGCTCCCACCTCTGTCACCCAGCCTTTTATTACACACTCTGCGAGTGTCTCCAATGCCCTGTCTGACAAAGACGGCCCCAGCCCACTCTCCTGTCYGGCTGGGCTGAGTGCAGTAGGCTCTGAATGCCTGACATTTTAGCCACACCGCCTTCACCTCCCATAACCCCATGACCCAAATTTAGAAGGTGACCCTGGCTCCACTCAGAGCAACTCTGTGTCTGATTTTATAATTTGGGAAGTGCCTGGCTTTGGAAATCTATATTCTTTCCCCACTCCCTTCCTTTCTCCCCGTTCCCTGCTCTAGTGATCTATCTATAGACATCTTGCTCTCTGGGTTCCAGTTCCAGTGTCCTCTTCCCAGTGAGGTCTCCCTTTCCTCTCTCGTTTCCCTTTCTCTCTGTCTCTCTTATCCCTCATGTCTCTCCAGACTGTGCCATCCAGTTCTGCCTGGCTTCAACCTCTGCACCCTTCCCTAACAACATGGCTACCTCATGTCTGCTTCAGGCCACAGCATGACTCCTATGTCAGCCACATTCCCCTGAACACACAACCCTCCCTCCACCTCCTCCCCCACTTCCTCTGCTCAGTCCTCCTCCACCGGCCCCCTCCCCAGGCAGACCACCAGCCCCCAGGGCAGGTTTGGAGAAGACCTAGCTTCCACTTCCTCTTTCTGGGATGGGAGGGTTCTCCATAGAGCTGATGAATCCAAGTCACAAGGGAAGTTTTGAGGCAGAAGGGAACTATGACCCAGAGGCTTGGAATAAAGGGATTTCCTCCCTTCCATTCAGGATGGAGGTAGATTGTTACCTTTCTTCCCTTCTGAAGCTGAAAGGGGAGAGGGGAGCTGGAGTAAGGGGTGCAGCCCAGCACATTGAACGGGACTGGATCTAAGGTAGGGGGACTGGAGTCTCTTCCTCCAGGAGGCTAGAAGGGAGGTCTTTCATAGGAAAAGTGGGTTTGGCTTATTTTATTATTTTTTTTTCTTTTGARTCCTGAGGTAATTTTCTGTTGACCCGCTGCACAGGGACAAGCTTGACTTCTGTTTCCTGTGCAGTGAAAAYCCTGTCATTTATTTGATTTTTCACCTCAGCCCTCACAGGAGCATAGAATGTGGGGTCTCTTGCTCCCTAACTGCGTCTTTTTAACTGATCTGCACATCAAGAGTTAACTCTGGCTTCTGGGCCAAATTAGAAATAAGCAGTCTATCTTTTCTTTTCTTTCCGTCTTTTTTTTTTTTTTTTTTATCGTTGAAATGTCTCTCAGTGGAGCTGCAGCCTCCTCAGCCCCTGAATGCATCTGTGTTTATTACACTCGGGTGTCACTCACCGGTTGACATCCTCACCTACATTTCCTCCTCCTCCCCTCCTTCAGCCAGCCTATGATAACACTAAAGATTATTAATGTCGGTTTTGTATCTCGTTAAAGACAGAATTGTCACTTACACTCTTTCTGCAGCATTCAGCTTTGCGGTAGCTGACGCCACTGTGTATGTTTCATCGTTGCTGTGAAGGTCAAAAGCCTCATTTTATTTTCCTGGTTTGATTTTTTTTTTTTTTAAGAAAAAAACTGCTCTGAATTAAATGGCTGTTTTAACAGTAGGCTCTTAGCATTACACCACATAGTCATTTTTCATGTTCTTGTTTAACAGGCACTGAGGTTCTGGTTTAAATTAAATAGCTGCAAATGAGACAATTTATAACCCATTAGGTTGGGTGGAAAATTGTTTCTCAAAAGCAAATAAGTAATAAATCTGGTATCTGCCTATAACTCACAGTTGATAAGAAAGTGGCCATTACTCACTAGCATTATATATGATTTGGGCTCTGGGTAATTTGGAAGTGTTAGGTTTGTGTCTTTGTAGCAGTATTTTTATTAGAAAAGACTCTATTTGCCTTTTATAGGGTATTAATCCCTTTGTCACCTACCATTGATGCCTTAAGTTTTTTGGGTCTCATTTAAAAATCTTCCTTTTCTTGATGCATGACAARTGTAATCGGTACTTGCTCATTTATTTGTCTATATTTAGTTTATGATGTATTATTTAATTATTTTTCCAGCATTTTTTTTCCTTATGAATATGATATTCTTTAGTGTTAAGCTAAGGCATTGATCATGTATCTACCCCCGTAATGAATTAATAAACTATTTTCCAGACATATGTTATTCTTTATGGAACTAATGATTCGAATTCTCTCAGCTTTTCTACCCTGGGGAGTTCATTTCCTACAAGGATAGGAAATGGTGGTTTTTTAAGGGTAGAGAAAATGTTCACAAGAAAGAACTAACCCATCTCCTCCCCTCAACAGGCACTTAAGAAAAAAGACTTAAGTTTAGGAAAAGGGGCTGGGGGTGTAACTCTGTGGTAGAGCACTTGCCTATCATAAGCATTCAAAAGGCCCAGTGTTCAACACCCCTCCCCACACAAAGAAACCATGAGGGAAGATGTGTTCTTTGATGGCATGCAAACTCTCTGTGGACCTCTCTGCATCTGAGTACACACTTTCCTGAACTTTCTTAGGTACAAGGAAAGAGCTGTGGGTTCCACAACCATTCTTTATAGCTGGTCATCAAAATTACTGATGCCTGCACATTCACACACATGGGCACTATGTCTGTGAGCTCAGATTCACAGATGCATAGTCACCTACACAAACACACTGTTGTCCATTAACTCAAGTGCATACACAGTCTGACATCCAGAACTCCATACTCACACCCCACGCACATCTCAGAATCACAGCTGGCAGCTGCTCCAGGCTCTATAAAGAGCCAGGAATGGATTTTTCTATTGGAAGAAACCAAGAGCCAGAGACTGTCCTGACCAGGACYACCCCCAAAGTGGCGGGTGGGCCAGACCCAGAGTTAATTGACAGATCATACAGAGAGATACTGCACATTTTGCATGCAGTAGAATAGCCATTATTTGCATATCACTCTCAGACCAAGCGTTGTGATAAAGAAGAATTAAACACTTGTCAAGATGAATTTAAAATGACAACAATTCAGGACACCAATTTGACCTCTCAGAGCCTAGGACATGTCAAGAAGGGGTTGTTGAGGATTCAAGCCCCGCAGGGGAGTAGTTCCAGGACTTTAGGCCTGGGAGGTCCCTCTTTCCCTACCTTTCCTATGGCCAGTAGAGGCCTCACTTGCCAATTCTCACAATGAAATCCATTTGGGGTTATGACACACTGGGTCCCTGACCTTGAATTTCCCCATCGCCTCCCACTGCTCACTGCCTTAAGTCTTGTTTCTCAGGCTCATCTTCCAGTTTCTACTGCAGAGTGAGGAGTTCCTAGGCTGTACAAACCCTCTCATTAGCAGACTTGTCCATGTAAAAGCAGTCTGATTTCTGCAGGCATTTACCACCAAAAATGACTTTATAWAACACTCCTAGTTCCAAGGGTCCAGAGTTAATATCAAAAGACAGACTTAAGGCTTGCACAATGGGGGTGGGGATGTGGCTCAAGAGGTAGCGCGCTTGCCTGGCCTGCGTGCAGCCCGGGTTCAATCCTCAGCACCACATACAAAGATGTAGTGTCTGCTGAGAACTAAGAAAAAATAAATAAATATTAAAATTCTCTCTCTCTGTCCCCCTCTCTCACTCTCTTTAAAAAAAAAAAAAAAAAAAAGGCTTGCACAATGATGCACACCTGTAATCTCAGCTACTCACGATGCCAAGGCAGGAGGATTGCAAGTTTGAAGCCACTCTGAACAAGTTAATGGGACTGTATCTCAAAATAAAATAAAAGGGGCTGGGTTTGTGGCTCAGTGGGAGAGCACTTGCCTAGCAAGTATAAGGCACTGGGTTCAATTCCCAGCACTGCCAATCTAATGGCAGAGGAGCAAATAACCGAGTGAAGCCAGAGCTCCAGGGCTAGCAAGAATACATTTGCCCTAAGAGACATGTTTGCCTTCTGTAACATTCTCATAGGCATCTTTGTTATCCTCTTATGTTTTCTGACAYGAAACATCAGAATCTGTGTGGCACAGAGATGTTATTGACAATTATAATTTTCAGTGTGCTTTCCCAGTTACTAAATCATTTATCCAGGCCTGTGCCATTTAAAGGTCTCCTGGGTCGTGTAGGAGAGATATGGTTATCTTCACCTTTCAGACAAGCTCAGTGAGTGATTTCCTGGGCCAGGCAGCAGGCAAAAGTGGGGTGGATCCTGTTGGGTCTGCTCTTCTCAGGCAATGTACCCAAGATTGAGGAGTTGCCTTAACTCCTCAGTCTAGGAAAGCCAGTCTTTCGGCAGAACGACCTATGCTTTGAGTTTGAGCGGAAAGACCAGGTGCCCACGGAATTCTCAGTCTCTGACAACTTTGAGTAGCTTCTAGGGAATTAGCCCTAAAATAAAGTCTTGGATACATTGGAGGAGGGCGYAGCAGAAAGAGTGGGTCAGAGTAAATCCCGCAGCTTTGCGTGTTTCTTCTCAGCCCTGACGTGTTCCACAGTCCGCTGGGTCTATACTTCTCCAGACGCTCAAGTCCGGGACTGGCGGGCCGCGAGAGGACACAGGGCTACAGCCCGAGACGGCGCCGGCCGCTCCAGCCACAGTTCAAAGCGCAGGGGGCGCGTCCGCCGCGCAGCCGGGAATGTCCGGCCGCTTAAAGCGCTCGCCGGCTCTTTTGTTCCCCAGACCCGGCCTCCGGGGAGAGGGGGCTGGGGGAGGGGACCCGGAGGGGAGAGAAGGGGGGCGGCGGGCAGAGGAGGAGGGCGGGGCGGGCGCGGGCGGTGCGAGTGCGGAGCGCGCACCCCGGGCGAGGCTGACAGATCGCCGGAGTGGGTGCAAGATGGCGCAAGCGGAGCTCCCTCTGCGCCCCCCGCGTTCCTAGGCAGGCATGCGGCCCCAGCCCCCCGCAGCCCGGGCTCGGCCCCGGCCAGAGCCCCGGCCCCGGCCCCGGCGCCGGCCCCGCGGGACGCTGTAAGCCGCAAGAGGCCCGGGAGCTGCGCGTCGCCGAGCCCAGCGGACCGAGAGCCCCATGGCTGCGCCGCGCACCGCGTCCCCGCGCCGCCCGCCCGCGCCGCGCTGGCCCCGGCTCCTGCTATCGCTGCTGCTGCSGCTACTGCTGCCCGCGCCAAGCGAGGGTGAGCGAGGGCGCCCTCAACCCCAGCGGCTGCGGACAGAGCCCAGGGCTGGACCGGAGGGGAGTAAGCGGGCGCGAGGGGCGGACCCCGGGAGTGCGGCGCGGACCTGCGGGCAGACCTGGCTCAGGAGGGACCCAGCGGGACAGAATGGAGAGGGACCRAGAGAGAAACCGAGGCGGGGCTGCCTAAGACTGAAGCGGGGTGCTGAGAAGGGAGCCCCAGGAGAGATTCCCGGGCTCGGTCSGCTACCGCTCCGGGACGCAGGACAGGACCCCGATCTCGGACCAAGTGGCCAGGAGGGTGGCGAAACCGGAGCTAGGGGAGGGGAGCGGGCTGGCGTTGGGGATACAGAAACCAGTCAGAGGAGACTGCATGGCTAAGTCCCAGCCGAGGGGGGCGAACTGGGATGCTTGTAGCCTAGCCGTGGACCCTGAGTCGCCCGAAGTGACCGACAGAGGCAGGAGACAGTAGACCGCGGGGCGGAGGCCGGATCCCAGTCCACTGCGCGGGACTGAGAGGGCACATCCCGGATTTGGAGTTGAGACTGGGGCAGGGAGTGCTCAGGACAGATTGAGGAAGAGGAGGAGGAAGATTCTGGGGGGCGGCGTGTGGGGAGAGAGCGAGCCAGGAGAGAGCCCAGGAGAGAAGGAAGAGAGGAGAACCTTCTGAGAGCCAGAGCCAGCCACCGGATGCCCACGTGCCGCGCCCTTCCCCAGAGAGTGTACTCGTAGAGAGACCCTGTCCCTGGGCTCGCGGCGCTGTCCGGCTTTGCTGCCCTGAGCTGCATCACCAGCACCCTGTTCCCTTGGTGACTGTAAGGGGCCCATCAAATGGGAGAGGGATGCCAATCTAGTCCCTTCCTCTCCCACTCCAAATTCTCAGCAGACACACATTTGGGCTATTTTCTCTCTTCTTCCCTTCTAACAAGCAGAAGATTGCGTTCACATCAGGGAGAAACTTTAGTCTGCCGGTTGGCTATACCCGGGTTGAATTAGGGACTGGGGCAACTAAAACTCTGAATATGGGGAGGATGGTGAGGGTTTGGAGTATGATCCTCAGATGTCTTAAAACCTCACATATCCCTGGGGGGTCTGGGCGATCCCCAGCATTCCSGCACTCCTTTCTCCTCACCCACTTCCAGATGTCCCCTAGCAGGGGAGGGCCCTGGTCTGTTGGGCTGGGCCAGTTTCAGGATCACTATTTCCCTGGAGATGTGAGCAGGAATTTGTGGCTGCCCATTCAGACCAGGTGGGTTCATTCCTCCTGGAGTGAAGTTGTAACAGGTCTGGTAAGTTGCCTGCTGGAGAACTTGGTGACTTGGCATCGTGCCTGGGATGCTTGTTCCTCCTGTCCGGCTTCTGATTTCCAGATCAGCCTCTTCTTTTCCCTCCTTCTTTCCCAGCTCATTTCTTTTCTTCTGCAAGAGTAAAAGGCTCTAGGTCCCTGTCCTTCTAAGTGTTGGGAATCTTAGTTGGTGCTTGCRACTTCTCATCTCTCCTTATAACAAAGGCCACTGGACCAACACCCAGAGCAGGGAGGGAAGGGGTCTACAGGCCACAGCCTAGCCTGTACCCTGGGTAATGGGCCCCCACCTCCTGCTCCCAATGCCAGGCATTGAACCAGGCCTCTGATGATTTTGCATGATTTATTACTATCTCATTCCATTTCTTTAGAACTTTTAAATTTCCATAGTGCCACTGAGTTTGCAAATCATGTCAAACAACCCTATGACACAAGCTACATTGTTGTTCCCTAATTCAAACAGATGAGAAGTGAGAAGCCAGGACAAGTTGATCCTTTCACCTAAGATCACCTCCTGAAATCTRTGAGACTTCAGTGCTTATCCAGGGTGACCCCAGAAGGGCAGCAGCTGTGTTGGAATCAGTCTTGAATCACAGATTTGTAGCTACTAACTGTGAAACCCTGGGCAAGTCCCTTAACATATTTGGGCTTTAGTTTCTTTTTTGGTGAAAGAGGAAATGGTACAAATAATACTCATCTTTCTGAGGTGGTCTGTGATTAAGAAAATACTGCTTGGGATGGTACTTTGCAATGCATAAGGTTCTGTATATAACAGGGATTTCTATTAACATGACTGAAACATGGGAATGGGATGCTAGGCCCAGGGAACTGGAAATCCCAGTGTGTGGATTTTACACTAAGGTCTCCTTTTCCTCTCATCTCCCCTTCCCTGATGCAGGTCTTGGCCACTCTGCAGAACTGGCATTTGTTGTGGAGCCCAGTGATGATGTTGCTGTTCCAGGGCAGCCTGTAGTGCTGGGCTGCAAAGTGGAGGGGACCCCTCCAGTGCGAATAACCTGGAGGAAGAATGGGGTGGAGCTTGCTGAGAGTACCCACTCTTCCTTGCTGGCCAATGGGTCCTTACTGATCCATCACTTCAGGCTGGAGCGGGGAGGCAGCCCTTCAGATGAGGGTGACTATGAGTGTGTGGCTCAGAACCGCTTTGGACTGGTGGTCAGCCGGAAGGCTCGAATCCAGGCTGCAAGTAAGTGCACACCCCGTTTCCTTTTGTGTAAATCAGATTGGTAATCCAGGGTCACCTGGGGGCAGGGAGGAAGTGCCATCTCTTGCAATGTTCTGGAGAACTAATTTCCCAGCATGGGTCAGTTAAGAGGTGCCTGGCWTGAATTGGGGTGATAAATTGTATCATGTGCTCCTTTAACGGATTGGAATGTTGAATGCACAAGAATGTAGCCAAACACTCCCGGTGTGGGGGTGAGGATTCTTGGGCTTTAGTCATGGACCAGCTTGTCTTAGCTGCATATGTCTGTGGTACTTCAAGCATCTTGGTCCATTGAATATGTTTCTTATGTAAATAATGCCTTATTTGTGAGTGATGTAAGAAATTTTTGTGCTACATGCATTTTGTGTGTGTGTGTGTGTGTGTGTTTGTGTGTGTGTGTGTGTCTGGTGCTGGGGATTGAACCCATGGCCTTGTGCATGCGAGGCAAGCACTCTACCAACTGAGCTATATCTCCAGCCCCCTACATGCATTTTTTTAAACATTTATTTTTTAGTTGTAAGTGGACACAATACCTTTATTTTTTTTAATTTTTTTGTGGTGCTGAGGATCGAACCCAGTGCCTCATGAATGCTAGGTGAGCACTCTTCCTTTGAGCCACAACCCCAGCCCTGGCTGCATATATATTTTAAATTATGTGCTGACTTTAGAACCTTTTGGGTAGTATAAGACCTCTCTATACAAGCAGTGGAGTGCTGAATCTTGTCACCAAACTTATTTTAAAARTATATGGTAGGTTGGGGATACAGCTCAATGGCAGAGCATTTGCCTAACAAGCCTGAGGCCCTGGGTTCAATTCCCAATACCACAAGAAAAATAAATCAATAAAAAAATATGTGGTAGGGGCTGGAGTTGTGGCTCAGTGATAGAGTGCTCGCCCAGCACATGTGAAACACTGGGTTTGATCCTCAGCACACATAAAAATAAATAAATAAAGTAAAGGTACTGTGTCCATCTACAACTAAAAAATATATTTAAAAAAAATATGTGACTGGGGGCAGTGGAGCACACCGGTAATCACAGTGGCTTGGGAGGTTAAGGCAGTAGGATCCCAAGTTCAAAGCCAGCCTCAGCAATGGCATGGTGCTAAGCAACTCAGTGAGACCCTGTCTCTAAATAAAATACAAAAATAGGGCCGGGATGTGACTCAGTGGTTGAGTGTCCCTGAGTTCAATCCCCAGTACCAAAATAAATAAATAAATAAATATATATATATATATATATAAAATTTATATTTAAGGTTTATCTCATTGATAGCATCCATCTTTATGCTAATGAGCTTTTTTGGATGGGAGAGAAAAGGCCAGACAAGGTATTTCAGCTCTAGAACTGTGCTTTGCTGGCCCTGATGGATCATCAATTGTTGTGGTGATAAAAATAATAGTTGTACTTTAGTTGCTCTGTCCTGAAAATTCTGCTATTATTATTGTTGTGTTTGAWTCATGCTGTGCTATGCACATCCGGAGTGTGTTGGTAAACCAAAATTAGTGATGCATCTTGGGGAGGTAGCAAGCTGAGGACACTCATGGGGGGTCATGGTTGAGAAGCACTGCTTTTGACACAGGACAAAAGTTTTGGCAAGTAAAAAATTTTCTCCATTTCATACATCTATACTTTGGGGAGGTGGCTGTCCCTTGGAGAGGCTGTTTTGGCATTCATTGGTAATAATYTGTAGCTATGGCTTAGTGAGTACTTGCTGCATGCCAGGCACCCTGGTGGATTAACTCACTGAGTCATCACCAGGACCCTGGGAGATAGGCCATCATCATTTCCCTTTCACAGATGAGAAAACTAAACCTTAGCAGGGGTTCAGTGACATTCTTCTAAGCAGAAGAGCCAGGACTGCGCTCTAGGCGGCCTGAACTCTCTGCCTCCATTTACCTCCTGTGGCACTCTGCCTTTTCCCTGGCCCAGCGCCCGACAAGTTTTCTTCCCTGCTCTGAGGGCATTTGCACAGTTGCTCTGAACGGTTGGTGAGTGATGAATTGTTCAAGGCAGGAGCCCTCTCGCTGGGCTTAAGATGCCCCTTTGTTCTAAGGAAGGCTGATCCAGGCCCCCATATGGAGCTCGCTGGGAGGCAGCCCTGGACTTTGAGACAGAATCACTTCTGGCTCAGCCACCCCTCATCCAAGCTCTCCTGGCAGTACAGGGGAGGGTGGCTGGAGCCTGGGAGCAGATGGCTGGGTGTGTGGAAGATATAGTGGACAGAGGGTGGGAACTCAGGGAAGACTGAGGGTGGAAGAAATGAGACTCCTCAGGGAGATGCTGTCCACATCCTCCCAGGCCTGTGTTGGTGCTGAGGGACAGAGGCCCTGTGGAATCTCTGCATCATCAGCCTGGGGTCCTGGGAAATAAATCCCCAGGGGTTTTGAGGGAGGGGAGAAAAGGCAGGGGAAAGGGGAGAAACTCTTGTGTTTTTTTTTTTTTTTTGGTACTGGGGATTGATCCTGGGCCTTGCACCTGCTAGGCAAGCGCTCTACCACTGAGCTATAACCTCAGCCTGCAAATATGTTTCCCTATAAATGGTAATACCTTCAAGATGTTTGGTTTCCTTTAACCCTAACAGTATAAGGAATTAAGATGTGAGTGGGGTCAGCCTGGATAATCCTTGGGGGTCCTGGAGACAGCTGAAGGGTTTGCCCCTAAGCAGTGGCAGTCTGACATGGCCTCTTCCCGACAAGGGTATGGCYCCATGGGGAAATGCTTGGATGCCAAGCAATTGGGCGGCTGGATCCCTTTTCTTACTTCATGGGCTGGTGTTCCTAGAAAGCTTCAAAGCTGATTAGCCGCCTGGGTTTCCTCCTTGGTAATCACCTCCTGCCCATTTGCCCGCTGGCACTACAGATGTTGTGTGACCTGGGAGGGTGGCTTTCTGAAAAGGTGTTAGGAGCCTCCTCAGCCCCCTGCTTTTCCTGCCTGCTCCATGGGGCTGATGGGAAGGAGCATGCTCAGTACCACTCACAGACAAGCTGTCCTCCCAGGCACAGTGAGGCCTGGATTACTGGGCATCCAGTTCTATGTGCAGGTCAGCTGGGACATTTGGGCCCTGAGCCAGAGGACCATGACTGGGAACGGACCACTTTCCATTCCATGAGCTCAAATGCTGTCCTTGAAAGATGGCCTGACCAGGGTGGTCTACACTGCAGACTAATTCCTTGGGAATTCAATTTCAAGTTCTTCCCTTTTCCGATACAATGGATGGCCCAGGCTCCTGAAATTATTCGTGTCCCCAGGACTCGTGGGCTCTCTGCGTTGCAGTTCCATGTGCTAATAGTTTGAGGATTGAAACTGAGACTTGTTAACAGTGAGACCTGGACAAGTTCATGTTCCCTTGGCCCAGTTTCCTTACCTGTGACAGGTGGGTATAATCGTAACCTATAGGAGGCTCATGAGGACCAGCTTATCCCACATGTTGCCTGGCACACGGGAGCCACTCAGGGGTCAGAGCCAGTGCTTCTTTCTTCATTTAAAGGCGGTGCCACTGGCAAAAGTTTTGAATAAAATCTTGCTGCCCGAGGAGGTTAAATGCAGTGGAAGCAAACTGCTGGGCTCCGCTCCCAGCCCCAGCTTCTCCCTTGCTGGGATTCCTTTAGGGCGTACTCCATTGGGCTGTGGAGTTGTTGGAGCTGGGGGGCTTCTTGTTCTGTTTCAACCTCTCCTGGGAAGGTCAGGGGTTCTCCCAGGTCTCAGAGTGTGGACTGAAGCTGGGCAGGCCTAGGAGACCATCTGGACACATGCACTGACTCCCTGGAGGACTCCAAAGAGGGAAGGGCCAGCTGCAAGGAGCAGGGATAATGGGGGCCCATCCCAGCCCCCCGTCGGTCCTTAGGCAGGATCCCTCAGCCCCTGCCCCTCACCTCTTGGCCTCTGGGGAGCTGGAGTCAAGAGCCCTATRCTCCAGTGCAGGGTTTCCCAAACCAAACTGACTCTGGCACTCATTTAAGCAAGGCTCCCCGCTGGGCCACACCTCCAGTCCTTTTTAAATTTTATTTTGAGACAGGGTCTTGGTAAGTTGCCAAGACTGGCCTCAAACTTGTGATCCTCCTGCCTCCTGAATCCTGGGATTACAGGCACGTGCCACTGTACCCAGCTCACCTAGGGGTCTTGCTAAGAGTTGATTTCAAATTTGGAGGTCTGGGCCAAGGCCCAGATTTCTGTGTCCAACCAGAACCCAGGTGTTGCTGATGCTGCTGGCCACAGGTCATATCTGAGTGCCCAGGTACTATAGGAGTGCCTATTCTGTTGGCATAACCTCTGATTTGGGGGCCTATGGGCAGCATAATGAAGTCCACAGAACTAGGACTGTACTGCCAGACCCAAGCAATTGCGTTTAACATGAGTTACTCAACTTTGTTGAGCCTCTGTGCACTTGTCTAAAAAATGGGCATAATCACCAGTCTGTCAGGGCTGTGGGAGGAAAAAATGAGATGATGAAAACAAAGCACTCGGCACAGGGCTTGGCATCTGGAAAAGCCCAGTAAGTATTGTTAGTGGCAGGTATTGCCCACTAATTTAGGATGAGGTCTGGCCCGTTTCAATGCTAGCTGGATTCTCAGTGAGCCAGCTAGAGCGTTTTGATCCTGGGGATTGAACCTAGCATTTTACCACTAAGAACATTCCCAGTCCCTTTATTTATTTTCTAAATTTTRAGAAAGAGCCTCAATAAGTTGCCCATGCTGGTCTTGAAGTTGGGATCCTCCTGCCTCAGCATCCTGAGCCATTGGGATTACAGGCATGCACCACTGCACTCATCCCCAGCAGTAGTTTTGAATGTGAGTTAAGGCAACAAATAGACCTTGTTTGGTGGACTTGGGCCTTGGCTCCACCACCTACTAGCTGTAGGACCTTGGGCAAGTCAATCAACCCTCCTGAACCTCTGTTTCCTCATCTTTAAAATGGGRRAAGTATCACTGTGGACAGTAGCACATGCCTGTAATCTCAGCAACTCAGGAGGCTGAGTCAGG